CCGCTTCATTAAGTACACCTCCTTGTATTTGTTTTCTTGTATTTTGCATTTTAGGCAAAAAATTACCATAAGACAATGTTCTGAGACCTCAGATATAGTATTCATAACCATTTCCTGCGCTAGCTTTCTGTGAGGGAGCTTTAAGCATCTAACCATTCAGACATCTGGTTCCTATCACCATCACTGTGAACAATTCTAAAGTTTCTCTAGAACAGAGCATGTCACACCAAACCACTCTGAATGACCTTATTTACATCTTAACCCCTTAAAATCTCAGGCTTATTACATACAAAGGCTTATTTGGGCCCACCAGTTGGCCCCTGGCCTATTAAGGGGTTAACTATTTAATTATGTAGAAATTTTGAAAAATTTGGTGGAGTTCCCCTTTAAATACCAACGCACTTTCACACATTTCTGCTTCCACTCAGGTTAAACATTAAAAGTAAAGAATGTTATCACTGCATTGGAGGAGAAGAACACTATTTCGTGCAGCAGAAGGGTGAATCTCTGACCGCACGTCTATGTGTCCAGCCAGATAATGATAGCGTAATTGATAAGTGAAGAATGGAAAAGTGCTCTGATGGACAGTGGTAAAGGCTTCTCGGCGGCAGGGCAGTCTGAAAGCATAAAGACTGGACACAGCTGGTGTGGGGCATGATAAGAACCCTGCCATCTCCTCCTAAATAGAGACAATCCATTTATCTTTCTACCTTTTCAACGTCTAAAAGACCCATCCTCAGTGACTCATACTTACATCGCCTATCAACAAGGCCGGCCTCGCTCAGGAATAAAGAACAGAGCCGTTTCAGACGGATCTCGTGGGCGGACATGTTTTGCAAAAGCAGAATGTCAAAGCCGTTGAATGAGCTGATGTAAAGGGAGGTGATTCTGCTTCAGTCTCGCCGCCGCAGCTTTAGATATATGTCATAACCACACAATCCACATTCAGGTGAGTGACAAATCTCAGATCTGCCGTGTAGCTTAGATGATCATGTCAACACAGTTTGTTTCATAATTGGATGAGTAACCTGGTGCATCCATCCAGGGTCATACATCTGTAGACGCCATCTTGTTTTCAGTCAATTTTTATGTAGTGAATTTTTTTATTCTATCGTCTTACATGTTTTTTTAAAAAACTAAACCAAATCGTCTCAACAAAATAAGATAATTACACTGCTTTGGATTCTTACAAAGCCTGTATCCTACATTTTCTTTGTATTTTAGTTCTACTCATGACATTTGTGTGGTTTTATGTACCAAAAACAGTTTGTAACATAAAACAGTAGCATAATTCCTTTTATCACTTTTAAACAGGCTATTTTTATTACTGTACCTTTAAGACTGATATATGTAAATCAGCTCTGTCCTGATTGGCTATCCTGTATTGGGGCTTATTCAAAACAGTCCCGTCCGAAACACTCCTCATATCTTCAATGTGAGTGGGCGGAGCTAAACAGCTGTAGGCTGAATACGTGTGCTGGTTTTTGTGATGTCACAAAAACAGTTCATTAAAAAACAGGATGACTTTGCAGCTTAGTTTCCATATATGGACTGTATGGACCAGGGAGTGAACAGTATGTTAAAGTTTCAAAGCATACTGGTCGCCCCAGTTTTACTTGGAATGGGCCCTTTAATTCAAGCAAAAAATGTCTACAAAGTTAAATAACCACAATATTTATATATATTATAATATTATAATAATTATAACAACCTCATAATGAGAAATATTAGATTAGACAGTATGGATAAGATTTATGATCTCACTTAAGATGTCTTTTTTTCAGTGTATTTTTACATATTGTATTTAATATTTCATGGATTTTGAGTTATTAACTGTAATTAGTACACACGCACACATATATATATATATATATATATATATATACATATATATATATATATATATATATATATATATATATATATATATATGTATATATATATATATATATATATATATATATATATATATATATGATCAGTGTATATATGTATGTGTGTTAGTGTGTGTGTGCGTGTGCGTGTGTATGTATTCCTGCGACGGACTGGAGACCAATACAGAACAGCCAATCAGAACAGAGCTCATTATCTTATATAACTCTTAAAGGCACAGAAACAAAAACAGACGGTTTAATTCTAAACTAAATGTGAAGGATTAAAAGGGAATTCCACCAATATTTCAAAATTTCCACAATAGTCAGTTAACAAAGTCATTCAGAGAGCTTTAATGCAAAATTGTTCAATGTACAGACGTGGTGGTGATAGGAACCAGGGGTCAAGATGTCTACATCACAAATATCGCCATTTTATTTACTATAAGTAGTGACCAGATACAGCATACAGATACAGAATCTACTTAGTTACCCTACATGTCTTCTGAGTTTTTATATGTAATGTTGATGACGGTAAAAAAGTGAAAAAGTCTTTCAGGTCTTTTCCTTCCTTTTTTTTTCTTTATACGCTCATATTGCTAATTTAGTGATGATTTTGTATGTACTAAGGATATGGAACCTGTTTTCATGGCATATTTTTGTACATTTCTATTTGTATTTATCTATCTATCTATCTATCTATCTATCTATCTATCTATCTGTCTGTCTGTCTGTCTGTCTGTCTGTCTGTGTCTGTCTGTCTGTCTATACCACGAATTAATTAACAAATAAATCATGGCCAAAACTACATTATGAAACTATCATAAAACAGTCAATTTGTCATAGGTTTCAAGTACAGTGTTCATGACCATTTCATGTAATAACTTTCTGTTACTGAGCTTTCAGGGGCATTAAACTCTTCAGATGTCTGGTTCCTATCACTTCTTTTGAAAAGTACAAATCCATCCAAATTGTACTGAAGCCTGCGTGGAACTGAGTAAATGGAACTAGTTACTACCCACCACTGTTGGTGTCTCTGATTCAGACGAGTAGGCTGCTCATCCATACAGGCCGTCATCACAGGAAAACATTACTCACGTCTCCTCCCAGAAAGCAGTGGTTAGCATTGCTTAAGACTATAATTAAAAAGTGGGAGGCAGACTGGATAACTGTGGTGTAGTCCTAATGAAACTCACTTCTCCTTAAGGGAATAAACAGGGTATGAGCTAATGCCCCAGGGCTTTTGCAATGTTACCCTAGACTTAAGCCCAGAGGTGGGTAGTAACCAGATACATCTACTTAGTTTAAATGTGAAAGCAGCATCCAACTTTATCTCTCTGACTATCCCCGTGTGAATGCGCCCTGCAAGGGGTCATAACCTGTAACTAGATACAGCACTCAGTGGGAAAACACTGCACAGAAATGTAAATGTGTAAAATGTACATTTTTCTGATTTTTTAAGTGAATAACTTTCAATAGACTATTTTGATTCTTATCAAAGTGGATGGCTTTGATGATAAATTCACCCTAGCATAAGATCAAAGGTAAGATTATAAAAGATAAACAGTCACACTGAGATCATACAGAAGAAAGATCAGTGAGAAAACCCTGATTGATGTTAAACAGCTGCCAAAAAGCTGTTAAAAACTACCCAGACAGCATGTAGATATGGACCATTTCTGGCAAACATATGGCACTGCTGCCTAGTTAGCACAATGCGGCTGGCCCATTTGTGAGCCACATCCTTAGGCTTGTACTGCCCCAGTGTACGGCTGGGTCATTGGCCCAGATTGGTTTCACACATACTGTAAAGTGAGTAGAGCTAATGTGGCCCAGATCTGGCCCAGCTACATTTTTGGTCCACAACATTCACAGCAGAATTGGCCCACAACTGTCGATACAAACCGTATGCAGCTGTATGGCATAGGGCTCTATTCTGGCCTGCATGCCTAACATCCGTTCTGTAGTCAACTCATATGTATGCCAGCTATAGGTGGTCCACTATCAGCACCAGCAAACTGCATGTGAGCCAAAAGTGGGCAACATTAAAACATGCTTATATGACCCACATGTCTTAAAACAGATCTGGGCCACTTCTGGCAGAGATATGGCAGTATGTTTACCTATGTTTTTAGTTAACTGACAAAAAACATATAGTCCAACACATCTGCATCAATACTAGAACGCAATTTAATTCACATTTTTAATTTAAAATGATTCATGGCTGGCTATTCAGTATAATAGTGATAATACTATTCAGTATCACCTTTGTTGCATGCTGTTTCAGTCTTTACTTGTTTGCTGAAGAGAAATTGAAAACTGCCAAATTCAATGGCTGAGATGTAAATAAAGTCATTCAGAGTGGTTTAATGTGAAATGGTTCATTGTAGAGAAACTCACCTCTTTACAGTGGTGGTGATAGGAACCAGGGGTCACACACACACACACACACACACACATACACACACACACACAATATATATATATATATATATATGGTGGATCATTCTCAGCACTGCAGTAACACTCACGTGGTGGTGGTGTGTTAGTGTGTGTTGCGCTGGTCTGAGTGGATCAGACACAGCAGTGCTGCTGGAGTTTTTAAACACCTCAGTGTCACTGCTGGACTGAGAAGAGTCCACCAACCAAATAGTACCTGCTCTGTGGTGGTCCATGGGGGTCCTGACCACTGAAGAACAGGGTAAAAGGGGGCTAATAAAGTATGCAGAGAAACAGATGGACTACAGTCTGTAACTGTAGAACTACAAAGTGCTCCTATATAGTAAGTGGAGCTGATAAAATGGACAATGAGCGTAGAAACAAGGAGGTGGTCATAATGTTATGCCTGATCGGTGTATAAACTCTCAGAAGACTCGTGTAGGTTCACTGGTGGTTTTGAATGATAAATAAAATGGCTATATTTATAGACATCATGACCCCTGGTTCCCATCACCACCACTGTAAAGAAATCTGAGTTTCTACAATCAACCATTTCACTCCAAATCACTCTGAATGACTTTGTTTACATCTCAACCACTAAAGTACGCAAAAAAGATGAAAAATCGGTGGAATTTTGCACTACGTTGCCTGGCAACGTGACCGTGACGTGACACCGAGGGCCGGCCGCCCTTCGCGCATGCGCAGCAGCGGAGCAGCCTCGGTTAGTGACTCCCAACAGGACTCCGGCTCGAGTTTTATTCAGTCTGACTCAACAAAATAACAGAAATGGGAAACTGTCAGGTGAGTGTCGCTCGTTTTTAGTGCAGGACGTGAATGTAGTGTTTTTAACTGATGTGTTTGTAGCAGCTAAAAGCGATGACGTTGCCAGTAGCCTAAGTTGATTAGCTCGAGAAGCAAAATAAAGAAAAAAACAGCTCGATTCGTCCAGAAAAGTGATGAAAATGAGTCGAGACTGGAGCTAAAGGTGAATTTATAAGCGGAGGAAAGATGTAGAGGCGGGTTGTATAGCCTTAGAAGCTAGAGGAGGTGTGGGCAGTGAATTTTCCCGTTCCACCTTAAATGCTGCAGCAGTTGTTATTAGAACGCCGTCAGTCCGTAACGTAACTGCTGCACCATTTAAGGTGGAAAGGGAAAATCAGGACAAGACGCTGGAGAACAGGGGGAAGCCAACTTCAGCCTCGTCGGGATGGTCGTCTCTTTATACCGACTTCGGCTTTTAACACCTTAAAGTGACACTGTTTGCATCTTTATTAGAGAATTTAAGTCCGTTTTGGTCATTTAAGTTTCGCGTTTTTTACTGTGGTCAGGAGGAAAAGAGGAAGAGGCCGCTCCTCTGCGGAATTCGTCACTGACCCGTTATTTTTTTTCTCCACCCGTTTTCCGGAAAACCCCGCCCTCCTGAGCTGAGATTGATTATTAGTGGAGAGGAGAAAACCTTCATTACACTCTAAAAAGATGGCTCTGTTTAGAACCAAGAGCTCTATATAGAACCTTTTCATGCTTAACTTGTTCTTCAGATTAATGGAGAGTGTCTTGTATAAGGTTCTATATGGAACCTGTTTGAAAATTGTTCTACAAATTGTTCTAAAAATGTTTCTATATAGAATCATGAACACCCAAAGAACCCTTTGCATGATTTAAGGGTTCTTCACATCATTCAAATTAATGGAGAATGTGCTGTTTATGGTTCTGTACAGAACCTTTTTGAAAAGGGTTCTGCATAGCTCCAAAAAGGGTTCTACTTTTGTTAAGATGTCAAGCTTGTAACAAAAGGAGAACCCTTTTTGGTGCCATTTAGAACCCTTTTCATAAAGGTTCTATATTAGAATCATTTACAGCACATTTCACTATCAGGCTGAAAAACCCTTTCACAATGCAAAGAACCCTTTAATCATGCAAAAGGCTCTATGGGTGGTAATGGTTCTATACAGAACCGTCTTCTTTACTAAAGAACCTTTGAAGAATCATCGTTTGTAAGGGCGTATATAGCACCAAAAAGGGTTCTTCTGTTGTTACAAGCTTTTGTTTTGGTGCTATAGAGAACCATTTACAAAAAGGTCTATGTAGAACCATATACAATACAATCTCCATCAATCTGAAGAACCATTTCAACATACAAACATTATGGAGCAGCATCTCTGGAATATACACATAAAAAGATGGTTCTTCAAGGGTTCTTTAGTAAAAGGAGCAGCTCTGTTCAGAACCATGAGTTCTAAAGAACCATTTCATGCTTTTTGAAAAGAGTTCTGTAAGGCAACAAAAAGCGTTCTGCTTTTGTTATGATGTCAAGCTTGTAACAGTAGGAGAGCCCTTTTTGGTGCCATTTAGAACCCTTTTCATAAAGGTTCTATATTAGAATCATTTAAGCATTAAATGGTTCTTTAGAACTCATGGTTCTGAACAGAGCTGCTCCTTTTACTGAAGAACCCTTGAAGAACCATCTTTTTTATGCATGTACTCCAGAGATGCTGCTCCAGTCTTATTTAGACCTCACTGTTAAAAAGGCCACGTTTTAAGGCTTTTCACTGACTTACAAAATGGGACAATAAAGAAAATGATGCTTAATCTGGGATTAGGCTTAGTCTGTGTTGGGAAAACAAACTCAGTAGTAGTTTTTAAGATCAGTTCAGCTCAAATCTGTGTTGTAATGACTGTCTTAAGGTTGGGTTCTAATATTATTGCAATTTAGTAGCTACATGGTAATAACTATCCTTTCTGTTTTTCTTTCTCAGACATGTGTGTAAATGTTTTTACATGTTGAAATTACATGTTTTGTTGACTTTCTAAGTGAACATAAGTTAATGCATCTTCTACAGGGAACACATTTGAATATGGCATTTTTCTGCAAATTTTAGTCCACAAATTCTGTATACACCGATCAGGCATAACATTATGACCACCTCCTTGTTTCTACACTCATTGTCCATTTTATCAGCTCCACTTACTATATAGGTGCACTTTGTAGTTCTACAGTTACAGACTGTAGTCCATCTGTTTCTCTGCATACTTTGTTAGCCCCCTTTTACTCTGTTCTTCAGTGGTCAGTACCCCCATGGACCCTCACAGAGCAGGTACTATTTGGTTGGTGGATCATTCTCAGCACTGCAGTAACACTGACGTGGTGGTGGTGTGTTAGTGTGTGTTGCGCTGGTCTGAGTGGATCAGACCCAGCAGTGCTGCTGGAGTTTTTAAACACCTCAGTATCACTGCTGGACTGAGAATAGTCCAGAAACAGATGGACTACAGTCTGTAATTGTAGAACTACAGAGTGCACCTATGTAGTAAGTGGAGCTGATAAAATGGACAATGAGCGTAGAAACATGGAGGTGGTCATAATGTCATGCCTGATTGGTGCATTTGTATAACAGTTTAACATATTGGGGAGGAAAAAGAAATAAAACATCGAATACAATAGGGTGCCATAACTTTTTCACAGGCTACATTTTATGTTTTGTATTTTGTCTTGTCTATTATGTTTTGTCTGCTGTTTATTCACGCATTAAAATGCGCAGAACTGTGTTCCGTGTAACTCATTTTCACTTCAACAAAGCGCGTCAGTTGACCGGGGACGCCCAGACTTTTGCACGCCACTGTGTGCCTTTGTCCAGATCTCTGGATAACAGCTCAACTTTGGTGTCTGAGTAAACTGTGAAGTCACTGTGTTTATAGCATAAGCTTTTTACTGCTTGTGAGTATGAGCTGGTAGCCAATCCCGGCGCTGGTGGGCGGGGCTTGTCGGAATACGCGTGGGGAAAACGCTGTGAATCATCATCAGAGGATCAGGAGTGGAGGGGCCTGGGAGAGGAGAGCTGGCTTTAGTTGTGCCGAGAGGCCCCCGCCGCAGCTGCTTTTGTGCTCTGACTGTTTGGATAGAGTAGCAGCCAGGCTGTCGTAGCAGAGAGTAACCTGAACCCGTGCTGGAGTGAAAGTCCTGCTGCCTCAGTGGAATAAAGACTCGAGTAGGAGTAAGAGTATCTTTTCCAAGAACAGCTTGAACAGAAGTACAAAAGTATCAGGGACCGGATTCACGGAAGTGTCTTACTCTCCAGGGTATATTTTGGTTTGTCCATCTGAATTTACATGCCCAAATCGACAAATTATTCAGTAACAAATTATTCAGTTAATAAATGTAAAATTTTATTTTATTTATTTCTTTCTTTTTGGTAAAAGTTCCCCTCAAATTAACAGAACATGTGTTTTATGATCATACACATATCGCTATATGCTTACAATTTACTGCTGAAAGCCAAAAATTTTAGACGCTCTTTGTATTATTTTATAAAAATAATTTTTACAGAGCAGATCACTGAAGAGACGCCGTCTGAGATCCAGTTTATAGGTTTTGTATGTGGGTGTTTCACTGCGCGGATGGGTTAAACACAGTTGGCCAATGGTTCTGAATTCTGAATCCTCTAAAGTGAATATTTCAGAACTTCTTTTTTTCCAAGAATTGCATTTAAGAACATTCTTATGAACTTCTTAGTGTTTGTCTTAAGAACCTTTGCAAGTTTTTTCTTAAGAAAGTTTTCGTGAATCCGGCTCCAGGTCAAAAAGACGATGTAACACCTGAGTATCGTGTAGAACTGCAGTAGAACTTCTTTCAGCACCTTTCAGCTTCCTCGCAAATACCAGCAAAGCTTTCACGTTTTACTGCCCTGTTAAAACATAACATCAGCGTTTCACTGGATTGTTTGTCTGTATTTTTTCTCCATCATTCTGTAATAAAGCAAAGACTAAATAGTAATTTCATTATTCAAATACTGGCACCTCGAGTTGTTAACCGAGTACCCTAATGTAAACTCGCATATTTAATTTTTTTTGTGTTTGTAGCATTTCAGATGCACCTAAACAAAGCAGTTCTGATGAATAAAACTAACCTTGTCTGTCTGACTTTACAGCCAACGATTTTTCCATACGAAGACTTCGATGTTGTGGCTGATATCAAGGCTATCCGCAAAGCCTGCAAAGGCTTAGGTAAGCTGTCTGTCAAAGCTGACCTTTTCTTTACTGTGCCGACTCCCAGATGTTTTATAAACCTCTTACAGTGAAATTCCACATTTTTTATTATTTCTGCATAATTCAGTCACTGAGATGTAAACAAAGTCATTCAGAGTGGTTTGGTGTGAAATGGTTCACTGTAGAGAAACTTACAGGCCCTGATGTCTTTACAGTGGTGGTGATAGGAACCAGGGGTCACAATGTCTACAACACAAATATAGACAACCTACACGAGTCTTCTGAGTTTTGTGATGTTGTGTAATGATGATGGTAAATAGCAGTAAATCTGAAAAAATGTTTTCTTTGGATGTTGCTTTGCCTCCTCATGCCCTGCATTTGCCTCCAAATGAATGAATTTTTTAGACCAACATTTCCTCTCAAAACTAATCTAAGACAGCTTCTCATGCATCAGGTTGTATTCATAACCATTCCATGTTATAACTTTCTGTAAGGGAGCTTTTAGAGGCATTAAACTCTTCAGACGTCTGGTTCCTACTCTGTAAGCTTCTGAAGAACAGAGGATTTCACATCAAACTACTCTGAATGATTTGGTTTACAACTTAAGTGTTCAACTTTGGAGAAGTTTTGAAAAGCTGGTGGAGTTCCCCTTTAACAGTATTAAAATGTAGAAATACATGTAATTTGTTTGTAGGGTAATTATATGTGAAGCTGTTTTTGTTCTGACTATATCAAAATGAACAGCATATTATCATTTTCTGTACATGAAATGCAGTCTAACAGATAGCTTAACCTCTTATTGACCAGGGTATATTTTGGTTTATCCATCTGAATCTGACCAAATAGTAAGGCAAATTATTCAGTAACTGCATGAAGCCAACATACATTTATACTTTATTTATTTATTAATTTTTTAATGTATTTTTTATTTATTATTTATTTTTTTGGGGTAAAAGCTCCCCTCAAATTAACAGAACGTGTTTTATGATCATACACATATTGCTATATGCTTACAATTTACTGCTGAAAGCCAAAAATCTTAGACGCTCTTTGTATTATTTTATAAGAATAATGTTTACAGAGCAGATCACTGAAGAGACGCCATCTGTTCATATTTTATAGCTCAGATTTGTGGAAAAATGGGTCGACTTTCAGTAGACAAAAAAATTGTGAGTTTAGCTTCTTTTATTATAAGGGTTTAAAATTACATCACCCATCTATTTGACTGGAGAGAAGACAGTTACAGCTCTCATACGACCCCCACCTTTTGAATGTAGCTTATGAAATATGAAAGTTATGAAGAATATGACGAAGTGCGTTTTGGAACCACTATCAATCTAAAAAAAAAAAAGCCTAACTCATAATTTTGTGTAATTGATAATTGATAAAAAAAGTAACATCATTTCCGGCTTGTACCTTTTGTTCTCTACAGTATTTGACTGTAGGAGGTCCAATAGACATTCCCATCACATAATGCTCTCTCATTCTTGTGTGTTCAGGCACTGATGAGCAAGCCATCATCGATATCCTGGCCAACCGCTCGGCTGCTCAAAGACTGGAGATAAAGCAGGCATACTTTGAAAAATATGATGATGTAAGTAGAGCACAGGTTCTTATTGGTCATTTTAAATGTTTTAAAAGTCTTTAAAGAAGGTCTGACAGCTGTATGTTAGCCAAGAAAAGTGCCAAGTGATTAGCTTGATGGCACTATAGAAAAACTTAATACTCTGGAAAATCAAAAATATGACTGATTTTTTCAAAAAAAAATTTTGTTTGAGTTTTGTCTTATGTGTTGTGTTTGGGGGGCAGGAGCTGGTGGAGGTGCTGAAGAGCGAGCTCTCGGGGAGCTTTGAGAAGGCCATCCTGGCCATGCTGGATCCGCCTCACGTGTTCACCGTCAAGGAGCTGCGCAAGGCCATGAAGGGAGCCGGCACTGACGAGGATGTGCTAGTGGAGATCCTCTGTTCTGCCTCTAATGCTGTATGTCAAATCTCTTTATACTGTGTTTTAGTCATGCAGCACTTTTCAGTTACTGCCCAAAGCACTGTAGGAGCGCAACAGATCTAAAGCACTTCTGTGTGAGGTTTTTTATCAAAATAAAAAAGAAGTAGCATTACTGAGTCAGGAGATCGTGACAGAACTAACCAGGCGCTCCCGGATAAAATGAGGAAAGTAGGCTTTACTATTAGAACGTGATATAAACTCGTAGTCAGAAAACAGGCACAAATCCAAAACAAGACAAAAACACAGAGGGGCAAGCAAAACAAAGACAGGTAAACACGATCCAAAAGGGTAAGGCAAAAAGGGAAAGTTGATAATCTAAAAACACAGTCCGATACACAGGAAGGCAAAATTAACACAAGGGGAAACGCTCAGTGGCTCAAAAAAAATGAAGCAATACCTCTCAAAGACTAAACTAAAGCCTAGGCTTTAAATACTATATGTGACCAGCCACACAATATGACAAACAAGACAGGTGTAGGAGGTTAGCATTCAGGTGAAGGGGAGCGAGGATTGGCTGTGGATGGTGGTGTGACAGTTATGTAATCGTCAAGGGAGTTCTGGGAATTGGAGTAATAATTCAAAAGTCAGAGGCGTTTGCAGGAGTTTGTCAGACCATGTCGATATGAAATATCTTAATATCTTGATGTGAAATATTTTGATATCTTGATATCACATCTTCCACTTCATGTGTTTGCACATTAACATCACACACAGGTTCGAAAAGGAGATCTAGCTTAACATGAAATTAACATCATATTGATGAAGACATGATGATAATAGTTAAGTTAATTCACTCACATCCTCAGAAGTCCTTCTCCTTTACACCCTTCATGTCCTTCACCAAGTTTTGACTGAGTTCTTTTTGAATTCCCTTTCACGATCATCAGATTCATCCGCTTAGGGAAGGGGTCCGAAGCACAACCCGTGTTACAAAATATTTTTTCGCATATAACAGAGCCAGTAAAACTGTATATACGTTTCTGGAATTGTACAAAAACGCTGCTAGTCAAATAAAGTTTGGGGAATCTGCCCGTATCTACTACTGTTTCACCCAAGTGAGCAAAAACAATTGTTTAACTCCTGCTGTATTTAATTCAGTTCAGTTAAATTTGCATATCACTGCTGTTTGAACAAAACCTTGTATCTCCAAAATGGTAGCTTTACAAGAGTGAAGTGTAAGTCAGTGTAAGTCAATGTCAGTGTAAGTCAGTGTAAGCAGACATTCTTCCAAGTAATTCTGGGCCGTTTGTTTTAGTCCATTCATTGTGAAATTTATGCACAATGTAAAAAGGACAGCAAGCATTTTTAAATTATGTCAAAAACTAAAAAACTACAAAAGTGGAGATACGAGGTTTTGTTCCGAGAGCAGTGATATATTTGCGTAGTTTCTTTTCACAGTGGACATTGTAACAGTGCAGCTTTACAGAAATCTGGACCCAAGCCCCTAATGAGCAAGCCGTGAGTGACAGTGGGAAGGAAACAGACATTGTTTTCTGATTTAGGAGGTTGACAACATTTTTCCCTTGTTTCTTTTTCCTGCAGGAGATCGCCACTTACAAAGAAACCTACTTCCAGGGTAAGAATGGATTTGTATTTTTGCAAAAGCTTTAGAAATGAGTTCAGTATCTTTGTAATGCTGTAAAGTGTAAATTAAAGCAGCTGATTTGCTGCTTAAGTGTTTCAGTCTGGACTGTGAAACTTGAGAAGTTGAAGGCCATCCTTCATGTGTGAAAAATGAAAGCAGTGTCTTTTCCATCCTCTAACCACACTAATTAAATGAGGGAGAAACACAAGGCAGATCTTCTGTGGGAACACCCTTTCCCCTCAGAGAGATCCACACTCCAAACGTGATGATGTTTTGCTGCTTGTACTTGAATTTCTGGAGTAAGAGCACAAATTTATGATCAGTTTTTCCCTCTGTGTGATTATGTTCATTAGGATATTATATTTACTGATAAATACTGACCTTGGATTAGCGCTAAAACTGTGAGAAGATGAATACGCACTGTTGTCTTTATGCCTTTTAAAGCAATAGCTTAATGGAGAATTTATATGTTTTTTCCCTTTTCTCAAATGTAGTCAGCCAAGAAGTATTTGGTCTGATCTGGAGCTTCTTTAGTTTTGCCCTGGACCAAAATAAGTAATAATAAAAAATTATATTAATGAGTTATATTTATATTTCGCTTTCACAAATGCATAAACTAAATAAAACAAAACACTAGAACCTAGAGAAATAATAATAATGTGATGGGAAGAGAAATGTTTAAGCAATAAAACTGACAAAATTACAGACCAAAGGCCTCTAGATGGCTGCTACTGCTTTTTTTTAGCTATACAATGTATTTTTGTTTCGTTCTGTTGATAATGATGTATCATACAGTGTCAGAAACCACATAAGAGATTACAGAACAACTGAACACGATTTGATGAGTGAGTGATGATTCAGGATGAGTGTCACAGTGCTGATTTGTGGCTGGTGTTGGGGTAGTTATTCAAAAAAGTAATCCTTTACAAATGACCAGTTACTTCTCTCAAACTGTAATGGGATTAATTTACATCCCGGAAAAACACATTATTACCTTACTTCTGAGTTACTCTGTAAAACTCAAAATCTGTTCCAACTTGAAAGTACATGAGAAAACCCAGTGGTCCTTTTAGTATTTTATTTAGAGCGAAACAGTGAATCACAGTAAACATCAATTAAAAGACATTTCACTATCCCTGAACAAAACACAGCCAGTCAAGCTGAATAATATGATGAATGGCTAAAGCTGTTTGAAAGCTTAGAAACTAGGCAGTAGAAACAGATTGAAACCAGCTGCATTGAAATTTCTTTTAAAAAATAAAGGTAGAGATTACAAAGCTGTTTCTGAATGAAGCATGGTCTACAGGACTGAGTCTGGTTTGTTTAGGTGAGGTTTGGGCTCTCTCTTTATCAGCACAGGGATCTTTTCTATCAGTTTTCATATCAGCATGATTAGATGCTTCGACAGATTACTTATCGAATTTACGGCGCTTCCTGCGCTCATGCAGTGCTGCTCATATTTACAGTCAAAGTCACCGAGTCAACGTGGCATGAATAATCTACATAGAGGAAACGTATGTTTTAAATGCAATATGCATTATAATGCATTATTGCATTATTAATATTGCTCTGTTGGTGACGTGAATAATGCATGTAACGACTTTTTTCTCGAAATATTATGGCTTTTTTCTCGAAATGTTATGACTTTTTTCTCAAAGTCTACTGTTTTTATTTTTATTAACAGTGGCCCTAAAACGCTGTTGTAAAAAACTTAGGTGCGCTTTGTCCCGCAGATTTATTGAGATTTTTAACATGGCATGTTTGAGTTTGATGCCCCTGCTGTTGTGGGCAGAAGACCTGCATCGACAGCTTATTAGACTTCTGTTTGCACTGTAACAGTCATGATCCTCTGTCATCCTCTAATTATACCTTTTTCTTTGTAGTGCATGAAAGGGATCTGGAGGCGGACATTGCCGGGGACACCAGTGGTCATGTCCAGAGGCTGCTGACCATGCTGCTTCAGGTACAGAGCCATTCTGCTTCTATCAAAATGGACACCCGCCAGCTTACAAAATGACCTCTTTGCTCTCCGGAGTGAAATCAAGCTCTCAGTGAACCCCTCCCTTTTCCTCTGGCCTGAGCAGCACAGGCAGGCATTCAGCTCTGATTTCAGACACACTTCAGGCCAGGATCGGTCACATGCCTCGGGCTGAGGGGCTCTGTTTCACTTTCCTGTTGAAGACTGGCTCTGACGTTTCTCTTTCCTGTGTACAACAGAGTGGAGAAGCCAAACACTGAGGGCCTGTTTATGTTTCTAATTTGGTCCAGACCAAAGCAGAAAATGAAATATCATTGCATTTTAGTTCTGATTCGCTTAGCAATCACAAAGACATATTTGACATAGAACCAAGAGATGAAAACATAGTCATATGAACAAGAAAGTCATGACTGATTGGGCAGATTTGATAAAGTACATTTGGTGAGGATCACTGGGATAATATTCAACACACTTTCTGAGTCATGCTGTAGGCTGGTTAAACAGAGCTTGTGGGTTTTACGTGCATGTTGTTATGGAATAAAGGTAATAATCTTATTATTAGAATAATAATAATACATGAAACATAATGGTAATAATCTTATAGTCTTATTATTAGAGTAATTATAAGTAAAAAGTAATAGTAATAGTCTTAATAATAAGAGGCAAACTGACCACCTGGGCTAGCAAAACCATAACAAGCACAGGGAATTACTATATAAACCCAATTTTGTAATCAAAGTCATCAGCATTGTTCTGCAACTGCTTTAACTTCTGAAGTGACTTTTTCAAGCCAACTTAAAGTTCATTCACAAATTTTCCCTTTCTAGTTTTACCCATCTTATGATATTCTACAGCAACAAGCCATTTCTGCGTTACTTAAGCAATTGAACACGAGAGGGAGTGATACCGCGATAACATACTCCCTCTCATGTTCTATTGCTTCTATACAACAGTTAAATAAAGTAAGAAATACATAAACTGGGCTGTGAATTTGGCACTTAATATGTTTTAATGTTCGCAGTTCCTTCCGCCAAATTATAGTTCCTTAACAAGCAGCTCGTTGCTACGTCAGAGTAACGAACTCCGCTCAGTCGCTGCACAGTCTGCTGTAAGCCTCGCCTTTTGAAAAACAGACTGAGCCATAAAACTGCAGAAATATCAAGTTTAGCTCAGTTTTGACAGTTTTTGCCAGATCAATATTAATGTTGTTTTGTTCCAGCCAGTCTGTAAAGCATCTTACAACCCATTTAGTTTGGCGAATGGTACTGGGTTCATTTCTGGCTGATTCCAGGTTGTTCAGCTGTTCTTCTGTCACAGCTGCCGACTGAAAAGCTGCTCAGTGGTGATGACAGTTTGGGAATTTAGTGTCGTCTCATCTTCAGACTCTGATCAAATCGGCTGTTGGTCAAATGTGATCTTAAACGTATCCATTTTCTGTTTGTGGCAAAGTAAGAAGTAAAAACGTTCAAATGGCTTGAGCGTCTCCTACGGCTGTCAAAGTCGCTGCTTAGCAACGGCGTCTCAGCGGAGTGATACAGTGTTTGTGAAAAAGCTGTGATGTTATGGCGAAATAACAGCACGATTAGAACGCTTCTCAACCAATCAGCTTGCGTGGCCGGAACTAACTGTTGTATAATGTGTCTTTGACCCACTATGTGAGATGGGGAGAAAACGTGGTAAAAACACACAGCCTCAATATGTCTTACTGCTTTTTTAAAATGTTGAAAACTTGATGCATTAATATATAGTATATTTGATGTATGCAGTATACAGAATATTGTATAATGTGAAACTATTCATTCTATAATTACTGATTCAGAGCTCGAGGGGATAAAACACATGTACGTATCAAAACAATGAATCTTTTGCACGAAGCAAAGGTCTGTAGAGAACAGACAGTGGTGTATTCTGTGTTTGGTCCGTATTGACGACTTTGCTTTCGTTTTGTGTTCATATTTCAAACAAATTGCACCACAGTTCGTTTAAAACTGAGGTCTTGGTCCACTTATGTGGTGCACCAGGGTTCCTATGACAGCGTTGTCATTTGTTCTAATGAACCACATTAACAGAGCTATCACACCAGGTTCAGTTTAACTGAACCGAAGTGTGAACACACACTGCATGTCCAACAGTTTATAGGCACCCGCTCCTCCAGCGTTTCCTTTGGAATTAATGGTGTTAATGGGGAGTTTGTCTCCCATTGCTGTAGTAACAGCCTCTGCTCTTCTGGGGAGGTGTTCCACTAGATGTTGGAACATTGCTGTGAGGATTTGATTGCATTCAGTCACAAGAGCATTAGTGAGGTCAGGTACTGATGTTGGATGATCAGTTCTGGATCACTCCAACTCATCCCTAAGGCACTGGAGCTCCATCACTCCAGAGAACACAGTTCCACTGCTCCACAGCCCATTACTGAGGTTTTTTTATACCCCTTTGGCCAAAACTTGGCATTGGGCATGGTGATCGTAGGCCCATGTGCAGCTGTGTCCCATTCTATTGATCAGTGTTTTTGTATGAAGATTATACAAGCCTTGTGTGCACAGTTTGAACACTCAAAGTAGCTGAATTCATTTGTTAGAAGGGCTGTTTGGATACTTTTGGACACAGTGTACATTTCCAAGGCGATTTATTGATTAGAATATATGTTAATGTGTATGATCATATTATTAAACTGAATATTGACCTTCATTTTTTAAAAGATTCTGCGTAATTCAGTGATTGAGATCTAAACAAAGTCATTCAGAGTGGTTTGGTGTGAAATGATTCTCTATAGAGAGTCGTACTCTGAATGTTTGATGGTGATATGAACCAGATATCAGACGTGTCTTCTGAGTGTTTATATGTAATGTTGACAGTAAAATACTGTTAAATCTGAAAAATAAGCTTTCTTTGGGCACTATTTGGCCTTATTCTCTATTGTACTCCTCCATCATGAATATATTGTATCTATTGTAAAACAGTGTCTCAGGCTTCAGGCAACGCATGCATAACCATTTCATGTAATAACTATCTCTGAGGGAGCTTTCAGAGGCATTAAACTCTTCAGACAAATTCTGATTCTGTTAGTTTCTCTAGAACAGAGCATTTCACACCAAACCACTCTGAATGACTTTGTCACCTCAATGATTTATTTATGCAGATTTTTTTGCAAAATGAATATAATCCCCCTTTAAAGAGACACCTGACCAATATTTGAGCTTTGTCTCCTTTTCTTCAGTAGGTTAATCCAAGTTTTGTACTGTTTAACTTTTCAAACTTTGTTTGCTAACTAACTCGTACCTCTCCCGATCACAAGATAACAAGACAGTTAACCCCTTAAATGTCCAGGGCTCACTTTTGTGGGTCCAGACTTTTATTACACGCTTCTATAAGCTAAGAATAGCTCAGCCAGTTTGCATTAAAGTCCCTGTAGTTACTGAATAATAAGCTTTAGTATGCAACACAGACCAGTGAGAGACTATACAAGGTACAACAACATATCATTATTGTGCTACACTAGAAATCCTATATTACACCAGTTTAATTGTGTTATTTGTTTATTTTGTTCCTATCAGAGCCATTGGTATGTTTAAATGCAGGTAGTAATATTTATGTTTAAATTAAATCAGATTTATTCCCCATTACCTTTATTCTTGGTGTAAGATTAGTTCTTTTACTACTGTGGTCTTTCCTCCAGGGCAATCGAGATGAGAGCTACGAGGTGGATGAGGGTCTGGCTGAACAAGACGCCATATCACTGTTTGAGGTGGGACATTTGGTTTAGTGTGAAGATGATAAAATGCTATGTTAAGTTTTTATTTGGTTCTAAGTTTTTGTATTTCTCTCCTAGGCTGGAGAGGCCCGCTTTGGCACTGATGAGTCTACCTTCAGCTACATTCTGGCCTCCAGGAACTACCTGCAGCTGCAGGCCACCTTCAAAGCCTATGAAGCCGTGAGTCTGTCTTTTGTCTGCCTCAGTCTGTAGAAACAAGGCCACTGCTGTGTCAAACTGTCTGTGAGAGCCGTCAGTCACAGATTGTGTTTCATCCCCTAATTGTCTTAGATTTCTGGAACGGATATCTTGGATGCCGTTGAGAATGAAACTTCTGGAACCCTGAAAGACTGTTACATCTCCCTGGGTCAGTATTAAAGAATGAATCAATATAAAAAGTAGATTATATAGAAATAGCTCCTATTATTATTTATTTTTTAATTTATTTAATGTCTTTTATATTATTTTAAACTATTGGTCAGTATAATAAGCCAGAAAGTGGTTTTGTCATGGGTTTTATTGGTAAAATATGAAATATTAAAATAGGTGTTTTTTCTATAATCAAGTTCAAGTTTTTGATCTATAAACAAGTTCAGGTAATCTTGAAAAATAATAAATATGTTGTTCTTTAAAGGGAAATTCCTTTGTGAACAGTTGTAGCTTACAAACACAATAAAATATAGGCTTATGTTTATGCTTTAATAATTTTCTTAAAGTGCATCAGTCATCCACACGAGGCAGCAGTTTATTTCTCTATTTCTCTTAATCTCACTGTAGCACGTCACGTGCTACCCCGGGCTCAGGGAGGACACTGGAGGCAGGGTTCAAGTTCGCAGCAGCCCTTAACTTTGTTATCTACACCAAACAAACACAACAAATGAAACAAAGCCAAAGCTATGCTGGCCACTTTTCAGGGACTTCAAGCTCGACTTTTCAGGCCTTTTCTCACTCAGGCTTTTTAGCTCTTTACTCTCTCTCTCTATGCTCTTTTTAAAAGGCGCTCACACTGCGAGCCAGATCAGCCACAGCTGGCTCTCATTAAGGGCACCTGAGCCGAGAGGAAAGGAGAGCTTGTTGCTCTGCCTCCCTGTCACCGCCCACGCGCCGCAGCTCGCCCACCTGGATGGAACGTGAGGTGGAGTGAAGCGGCCTCGCTGCAGAAAAGAGGGCGGGGCCCGGACGGCAGAGTTTGGGAGTCGTTTTCCGCTTTCGTGCCTCTCGTGACCGTCATCGTCATTGTCCCCTCTCTCGTGACTGACGTCCTCCTCCCGCCGTCACTCGGCGGTGCTCGGGATTTGCGCGCCGTCCCCCACTCACTCGCAATTCTCCTCTGCCCTCGCCGGGCTTCGCCCCGCTTGGAGTTCAGGCCCTGCCCTCCTGCTGGCTCTTGCGGCCATCATCGGGGCCCGGGAAACGGGCAGATGCCATTTTTACTAACAAGCAAGTTATCTTAGCAAGTAACCTACAAGCTCTGCATAATTTAAAATTTGCCTTCCTGCTTGAGCGCTATAACTACGTCCAATCGAATGTCCTCCCTCCAAATCTTCACCTCAACAATAATGTATAAATCTTGATATTTTCAGTATCACATAAAACTGTTATGAATCCAAAGAAGAGAAAAAGAGCCGAGGTTGCCCAGCTCTGCTTTCGGAGATGGTTTTATGTTTGCCATTACCAGTCTACTCTTGCTTGATTGGTTAAATGCAATTCATTTGCATAAAGTAGTAATCTGCTGAACTTTTTCGCTGCACCCCAGAGGCAAGTGGTGAACTCAGAAATCTACAGTTCAGTACCTTTTGTCATTAAATAAATGATGGGTGGTCTCTGCCTTTTACACAGTGCATATATAATGCTGACATTTTGCTAAGTATTCTGAATTATATGTTTAGTAGGAAAATATACTGAGCTGAAGGCACTGACTCATCTGTTTGTCCACAGTGAGATGTGCTAAGAACCCCCAACTGTACTTAGCCCGGCGACTTAACGCTGCCATGAAGGGCGCGGGCACAGATGAGGACACTCTCATCCGCATCATCGTGGGCCGTTCGGAGGTAGGACCCCTACTGCTTTGTTAAAGACCCATTTCAGTCCCTGCTCACTTTCCTTATACCCACTTGGGAGAATCCAGGTTGCATCCAAGTTGGTGAACAAACCTCTATTGTGATTGATACAGTGAATTACATATGGATTATATTATACTGTTTATTATACTGATTATTATACTGATTATATTATACATCTATAGCACACTCTCCATCATACTCACAAAACCCTTTGTATGATTAAAGCGTTCTTTGCATCATGAAAAGGTTCTTTAGATTGATGGAAAATGTGCATGAATGTGCTATAGATGGTTCTATATAGAACCTTTTTAAAAAGGGTTCTATAAAGCACCCAATAGGGTTCTTCTATTATTACAAGCTTGACACCATAAAAATAGAAGAGCCCTTTTGGGTGCTATATAGAACCATTTTCTAAAAGGTTCTATACAGAACCATCTATAGCTCTTTCTCCATCAGTTTGAAGAACGCTTTTATGATACAAAGAGCCCTTTAATCATGCAAAGGGTGTTCATGATTCTATATAGAACCATTTTCTTTATAAAGAACCCTTGAAGCACTATCTTTTTTAAGAGTGTACTTTGGCTGTAGTTCAGTTTAACCCATTAAAACTACAAGCAGTTCCTCACTGTGAAAATACACAACTTACATAGTAGTTTTGCAGTGGTTACTGAATAATAAGTGTTACGATTGGTAACCGAGTCATAAGATCAGAGCGTAAGAGGTTAAGGAATTCATTACCTATCAACGTTTATGTTGTTGAATGATTAACGAAACGTAGGGAGAACCATGCATGACGCATGACCACCTGCTAGCTTTTATTAGTTGCAGTGCCTTCACAACTGAGGGCAGCTTTGGTGCGGAAAGGCTGTGAAAAATGTCTTTGTTGTTTTGTTCTTTGTCAGCTCAAAACATATTAAACTTACTAAATTTGAGAGCAATATAACTTTTGAGTGACACTCATTTAGTCTAAGAAAAAACAATTATTATGTTACTCCAAAATGTTTTCAGGGTTAGTCTGTTTGGTTGAATCTTTCCTGTAGTGGAATGCCTGGCTAACCCTGGATGGAAGCTTCCACAAGGAGTATTGTTTTCTTTATGCTTTCATGCTTTTACTCTTGATACTATCTTTAGTCTTAGTATTAGTTGTAATAATCTTGGCCTACAACTCTACCGCAGCCTGTCCACTGTGTTCTCTTTCTTATGATTCTCAAAAGGGCAAATTTACTACAAGAGGCACTGATTCTTGACAGTCTGTAGGTAGTTTGCGCTGGTGGGGTGGCCAGTTTAGCAGATTATCTACCAAGAACGTTATGCAGATGAGGTTTGTAATTAACACGTGAGCAGCACAATATAAACCCCTGTTTAGTGTCCTTTTTGTATTGAAGCTTGTGTCCAAACAAAGGATAAAAAAGTTTGTTTGTAATTGTGTTTTTTCCCTCTTTTTCTAGGCAGTTGTATGTTCATATTTTAACTCTTTATGTCGAGTTTGACTTTTTATCTTAAAATAATGACTTGTTTTCTCTATATTTGACTAAAGTAATGATTTATGTTGAAAAAATGATCAATTTTCTTAAGATTTTGACCTCTGCAAAAGTCTATCATGAAAATCTATCATGAAATATCAAATGTGGCACAATAAACAGTAATTGTGTATTAAAATATGCAGAAGTGTGTTCACTATACACTGTTAGAAATAAAGGTTCTGTGCAGGTACAGTTTTTGTTCATCAAGGTACAAACAATGTAAATGTTCCCTCAAAGGTACAACAGTGGGTTTAAGGTCTGATTGTGAACCTTAAATATGTTTTTCCAGGTGAAAAGTTCGTATTTGTACCTTTTCATATCCGAATGTTGTAAAAAGAACAGTAAAATAAAAAGCCTGGAGACGAGACGGGGTGTGTGGAGTCAGTACAGCTTAGAACATATCATTTCAGTGGATTATGGTACAGTTATGTTCCCTGACTAAAGGTACTGAGATGGACCCTTGAGGGCACCACCCCAGTGACAAGAGAGTTTACTACCTTTATTTCTGAGAGCGTAGAGGGCACCACAGCTTTTACGTACAACTGTATGTCTAAGTATTGAGTTATTACTCTTTGAAAAACTAGAATTATTTTGAAATAATAAATCATTTTTAAAAAACAAGTCTTTATTTTAACATACTGGGTCAAAATATTGAGAAAATAAGTCATTATTTTATTATAATAATACAGAATTTTTAAATTTTTACGCAGTATTTTGTACTTTGAAAGAGAAACTCCTATAATAATATGCATATTCAATGAGGCAAAAGCACAAAACAGCAGTGGCCGTCCTTTTTTGATCTTATTATGTGGAGCTAAGCAAAAGTTTAGGCACTGCTGGTCAAATGACCAGAAGGGAAATTAAGTAACACATCCTCTACAGAGAACACACATTTTGCACGTTAATGCACACTGTTTATTTGCTAAATTTAACACATTGGGGGAAAAAAAAACAATTGTAAAATTTTGTCAGTATGTTACATTCAGCAAATGAATAGAAATTGTGCTCTTATATGTGCAGACAACGTGATTTTTGTTCTCATTGTTCTCTGTAGAGGTTGTGTTAACTTGTGTTCGCTTAGAAAAACAGCAAAATGTCATTTAACCAGGTTTTTTGCCTGTGACTGTATATAGTAAATTGTGAGAGCCACTTTTTAGCACCTTAATATGTTTTGCAGCAGCACAAAACATTTGTAGAGCTGCCCCATGATCTGAATGTGAAATGTTTTTGAACAGATGGACCTGGAGACCATTAAGGACTTGTACCTGGAGAAGTACGACGTGCCTCTGAAGGATGCCATCAGCTCTGAATGCAGCGGCGACTTCAAGCGCCTGCTAGTGGCCATCTGTCACTAAGACAGGCAGACGCAGAGGACCGAGGCCACTTGCACAGTCTAATAAGCAGAATAACTAACATTACTTACTTACAGTGGGTTCTGTTGCACACAAATACACTTGAAACTTCGTTAAATGGGAGGAGCCGAGCAAACTTCAAATTCAACACTATCTGTATTTCCCGTGAGGTAATTAGAGAAAGAATTCAGTATGATGTGCGCTTATATTAGCCTTTTAGCCTGACTGAGCTCTATGCATCCGTGTCTGTAAACAGTTCAGTGTCTTTCTCCTACAGTTCACTGTTTTATGGCCAAACTGACCCAGCTGAGTCTTCCGTAAACGGTGTCTTGTGCTGGGCTGTGAACAAAAGGCTATTTTGTGAGTGTCTTAAAGGTCTGTACGCTGTCTGTTAGCAAATTTGGCACCGCATAAATGTGTCCTTTTCAGGAAAGAGTGAGAAAACGCAGCGTACGGTGGAACATTAACCAGCAGAATGCAAGAGTGAAACGGTAAACGTGAGAAGTTGATAAATAACCAAAGCAGCGCTCATAACATAATATTCTAATGCCAGTGTTTCTGCTTCAGCACATTCAACACATATGCTGTGTTCTAGCTAGAGTGTGTAGTGCTCCAATTAGAATGCTTAGTGTTCTAGCTAGAGTGTGTAGTGCTCCAATTAGAATGCTTAGTGTTCTAGCTAGAATGCTGAGTAATCCAATTAGAATGCTTAGTGTTCTAGCTAGAATGCTGAGCACTCTAATTAGAATGCTTAGTGTTCTAGCTAGAATGCTGAGTAATCCAATTAGAATGCTTAGTGTTCTAGCTAGAATGCTGAGCGCTCTAATTAGAATGCTTAGTGTTCTAGCTAGAATGCTGAGTAATCCAATTAGAATGCTTAGTGTTCTAGCTAGAATGCTGAGCGCTCCAATTAGAATGCTTAGTGTTCTAGCTAGAATGCTGAGTAATCCAATTAGAATGCTTAGTGTTCTAGCTAGAATGCTGCGCGCTCCAATTAGAATGCTTTGTGTTCTAGCTAGAATGCTGAGTAATCCAATTAGAATGCTTAGTGTTCTAGCTAGAATGCTGACCGCTCCAATTAGAATGCTTTGTGTTCTAGCTACAGTTCTTCTCTAGCTGGAGTGTACAGTGCTCCAGTTAGAATTCTTTGTGTTCTAGCTAGACTATATAGTGCTCCAATTAGAGTGCTTAGTGTTCTGGCTTGAATGCTTAGTGTTTTAGCTAGAATGCTTAGTGATCCAATTAGAATGCTTAGTGTTCTAGCTAGAATACTTAATGCTCCGGTTAGAATGCTTGGTGTTCTAGCTAGAATGCTTAGTGATCCTATTAGAATGCTTAGTGTTCTAGCTAGAATATATAGTGCTCCAATTAGAGTGCTTTGTTCTAGCTTGAATGCTTAGTGATCCAATTAGATTCTTAGTGTTCTAGCTAGAATACTTAATGCTCCGGTTAGAGTTCTTAATGTTCTAGCTAGAATACTTAGTGATCCAATTAGAATGCTTAGTGTTCTAGCTAGAATATATAGTGTTCCAATTAGAGTGCTTTGTTCTAGCTCGAAGGCTTAGTGATCCAATTAGCATGCTTAGTGTTTTAGTTAGAATGCTTAGTGTTCTAGCTAGAGGGTATAGTGCTTTGATTAGAATGCTTAGTGTTCTAGCTAGAATATATAGTGTTCCAATTAGAGTGCTTTGTTCTAGCTCGAAGGCTTAGTGATCCAATTAGCATGCTTAGTGTTTTAGTTAGAATGCTTAGTGTTCTAGCTAGAGGGTATAGTGCTTTGATTAGAATGCTTAGTGTTCTAGCTAGAATGCTTAGTAATCCAATTAGTGCTTCAATTCAAGTTCAACGCATTCACTCTTTGTTGTGGAAAAGGTTGTGAGGCACCTTTTCCTTTGCCAGTACTTCCTCCCTGAAACCTGATCACGACTGTTACAGAAACATGCTATGCACTTTTATTTGCATGACACTTGTGCGTTATGAATGACTCCATGAAGCATATAAGACATATCGATTAAGACCTTTCTTACTTTATTTACAATCAATAAAACAATCAGTCACTTTATAACATAATCTGTGAATGAAGGACGGTTCCACACGTCATGTGACAGAGCTTCAGCCATTCTTTCGTATCATGGTCAGTTACATTCTTGTGTCCTTGTAATACTAACACAAATAATATATTTTAAATGCATTAACAGTATATTATATTTTTTATTATAGACCATATTTAGAGATTTGATTTAGGCCTGTAGCTCTTAATGGCAGTGATGGAAGAATTAATTGAACGCAGATGGGAGTCTGCTGTTGTCTTTTAAAACACCTGTCACAACGTTTATCACAACGGCAGCTGGGTTTTTAACAAGTAGTCTAGATTTTGAAGTGCATTTTCATTATATCTTGTCAGTGACAAAGCATGGTGTCTACATTTTAAGGTATAGAAATTATTCCAGACATCAGATGGGACCAGACGTCAGACCTGTGGAAAGAAACTGAGACCAATAACTGCCTGTAAAACCAATTTGCTTGTTTGGATATCCCAATAAAGTATTAATTGTATGATATAATTGTTGTGATATTTATTGTTTTATATCATATATTTACTTACGTTTCTGTGTGGTCTTACAGTGTGCATTCAAATTCATAGATGGGGAAAATAATCTGGAAAAATTACAGAGGGGGGGATAAGAATATTCTATCTTCTGATAATAAAGCTTCGTGCAGCATTAAGATATTGGACTCCATGTCCCAGGGTGCTTTGCAAGGGCCTGCGCAGATTTGGCATGCTAACGTGGCTAATAATGAATGGAAGCCAGTAGATTCTGATTAGCATGACCTCATTAAACTAAGCTGTTTGCCTGCACTAGGATTTGAGGAGAAAAGTATAGAAAAATACATAAAACTCTTTACACCGGTCAGGCATGACATTCTGACACCTCCTTGTTTCTACACTCATTGTCCATTTTATCAGCTCCACGTACTATATAGGTGCACTTTGTAGTTCTTCAGTTACAGACTGTAGTCCATCTGTTTCTCTGCATACTTTGTTAGCCCCCTTTTACCCTGTTCTTCAGTGGTCAGGAGCCCCATGGACCCTCACAGAGCAGGTACTATTTGGGTGGTGGATCATTCTCAGCAGTAACACTGACGTGGTGGTGGTGTGTTAGTGTGTGTTGCGCTGGTCTGAGTGGATCAGACAGCAGTGCTGCTGGAGTTTTTAAACACTCTGTCCACTCACTGTCCACTCTATTAGACACTCCTACCTTGTCGGTCCACCTTGTAGATGTAAAGTCAGAGACAATAGCTCATCTGCTGCTGCACAGTTTGTGTTGGTCATTCTCTAGTCCGTCATCAGTGGTCACAGGACGCTGCCCACAGGACACTGTTGGCTGGATATTTTTGGTTGGTGGACTATTCTCAGTCCAGCAGTGACACTGAGGTGTTTAAAAACTCCAGCAGCACTGCTGTGTCTGATCCACTCAGAGCAGCACAACACACACTAACACACCACCACCTCGTCAATGTTACTGCAGTGCTGAGAATGATCCACCACCCAAATAGTACCTGCTCTGTGAGGGTCCATGGGGGTCCTGACCACTGAAGAACAGAGTAAAAGGGGGCTAACAAAGTATGCAGAGAAACAGATGGACTACAGTCTGTAACTGTAGAACTACAAAGTGCTCCTATATAGTAAGTGGAGCTGATAAGATGGACAATGAGTGTAGAAACAAGGATCGTAATGGTCGTAATGTTATGCCTGATCAGTGTATATATAAAATATTGAATTTATAAATATTGAATTTAACAGCTGTCAGATCAAAAAAGGTGAAAGTATTGGTACTTTTGGTGAAATAGTGACTCAAAGGGAGGAGTAAAAGTACCTTTCCAAAAACCTAGTAGAAGTTCACATTAGCAGCTAAAAAACTTCTCCAGTACTGAGCAAACATACAGAATTGCAGTGAAGCTTCTTAGTGTCTGTCATTTATCAGCAGAAGAACTGGAGTTTGTTTGCCTCTATTCTTCTCTTTTTGGTCTGAAATAAAACCTCAGAAGTCACAAAGTGACAGAAGCACTAAAGAGCCATAAATTCGACATCTCTATTTTTTTTGTATCATCATGACAATGTTTTTTGTTGTTTGTTCAAGATCTGGAGATGTCTGCGATTACAATGACATGACGAAGGTTTTCTTGATAAAACGATGTCTGCTTTGTTGTAGTGATGACAAATAATATATTTAGATATTATTAGATAATAGTATGATGCTCATGGTAGGGCGGTTTCATTGGCAGATGAATGATGAACTAGCAGCCAATCACAGCGCAGCGGGGTGGGGCTTGTTAGTGTACCTGTAGGAGGGGTTGGTGGTCATAGAATGTTTATTTTTTATTATGATGCTCAGACTAGGGCGATTTTGACTGACACTCAAAGCAATTTTTGAATTATGAACTTATGAATTATGAACTAGCAGCCCATCACAGTGGGGCAGGGCTTGCCAATATATGAGCATTTATTTTATTATGACCTCACACCAGGGCAATTTTAATTGATGGACTGTTGATGAATTATGTACTAGCAGCCAATCACAGTGAAGCAGGGCGGGGCTTGTGGTATACTAGTGTGTATGTTTTGTTATGATGTTCACACTGGGGCGATTTTGATTGGCGGACTGTGGATGAATTATAAACTAGCAGCCACTCACAGTGCAGCCGGGTGGGGCTTGTCTGTGTAGTAGGTGGGGGGGGTGGTGAAGCCATCACTAATTTGGTCGTAGAGAGTTTATTTTTAATTATGGTGCTCAGACTAGGGTGGTTTTGATTAACAGTCAATCTCTGGCAATTTTGATTGGCGGACTGCTTATGATTGTCGGTATACGAGTCGGGGGTAAAGCAGTCATAATGTGGTCGTAGAGTCTTTATTTTTAATTATGACGCTCACAATAGAGTGAATTTGATTGGCGGACAGCTTATGAATTATGAACTAGGAGCCAACCACAGTGCAGAGGGGCGGGGCTTGTCAGTATATGAGTCGGATTGTAAAGCCAACCCTAATGTGGTTGTATAGTGTTTATAATTTATTACGACACTCAAAGTCGGGCAATTTTGAGTAGTGGACTGCTTATGAATTCTGAACTGCCAGCCAATCACAGCAGAGCAGGGCTTGCCAAAATATGAACATTTATTTATTTTTTATTATGACTTCACACTACCGCGATTTCGATTGGTGGGCTGCTGATAAATAATGAACTAGCAGCCAATCACAGCGCAGCAGGGTGGGGCTTGTGATATACCAGTGTTTATTTATTTTTTATTATGAGGTTCACACTAGGGCGATTTCGATTGGCGGGCAGCGGATGAATAATAAACTAGCAGCCAATCACGGCGCGGCGGGGCGGGGCTTGTCGGTGTGCGAGTCCGGGTTTAATCCGACTCTAATGTGGTTGTACAGTGTAATTGCTGTTTGGCGTTGTTTCCCAATCTCGGCTGAAAGCTGATGTGTAAGGACTGCATGAGCTTCACCACTGTCAGCTGAAGACGGCGAAGGTAAAGAGCAGTGCTCACGTTTGGCTGTGTAAAGGTGCTAAAACTGTGCCGCTGCTCTGTAGCTCGGTGCCATTTTCCTCCATGGTGGAGGAATAATTAACGCAGAGCTTTGTCCTCCAGCTGCAGCGTTCAGCTTTAAAAATGGAGGGCTGTGCATATGAGATGAGGAGCAGAAACGAGCCCGCTTTGCTGCTTTTGAAGCCTTTCAGAGCTCCGGATGTTTTAGAAAGGACGCGGATCCGCAGAGCCGGGGGTCTGGAATCCCTACAAACGCGGGAAAGTTTGTTGTTGTCCTCCTTGACGAGGCTGAAGTTGGTCTCTTCTCGTTCGCCGGCTTCTTTATCCGTTCCACCTTAAATGGTGCCGCCGTTCCATTCTGAGAGCACGCGACCTGTGCAGCAACTGCTGCACCGTTTAAGGTGGAGCGGAAAATTCGAAAAAGACTCACGCGAACAAGCTTTGCTTCCTGTCAGGCTTGGCCTTTTTCACAAACTGGCTTTATTAGGCGTCTCTTTCCGTTTCGCTCACTTACACAAAGTTGTGTTCCGTCTTCGTGGTGTTTCTCCGTGTTAGCTAACGCGGCTAACGCTGCTATGCTAACCCAACCAACCCAAAGTAACGTTAACGTTAGTTCACCAGGCTGAAGCTGAAGTTGGCTTCCTATTCGTCAATTTTCTTGTTCAAATTTGCCCGTTCCACCTTAAAAGGTGCAGCATTTACATTCAGGCACCTCAGGTATTATAACTGCTGCACCATTTTAAGGTGGAACGGGAAAATTCCAACAAGAAGCTGGGGAATAGGAAGCTGGTTTAAGCCTCGTGAGTAGTTTTCGTCTCTTCTTTCAACTTTTCTCATAAAAGCTGCAGTTTTCTGTGTTACAGTAAAGTCGTGTGGGAGCACACACTTGTCACAATGTCAAAAAAAGGTACAAGTGTTTACTTTGTGTTGGTGTGTGTTGCGCTGGTGCGAGTGGATCAGACACAGCAGTGCTGCTGGAGTTTTTAAACACTGTGTCCACTCACTGTCCACTCTATTAGACACTCCTACTTTGTCAGTCCACCCTGTAGATGTAAAGTCAGAGACGATAGCTCATCTGCTGCTGCACAGTTTGTGTTGGTCATCCTCTAGTCCTTCATCAGTGGTCACAGGACGCTGCCCACAGGACGCTTTTGGCTGGATAGTTGTGGTTGGTGGACTATTCTAAGTCCAGCAGTGACACTGAGGTGTTTAAAAACTCCAGCAGCACTGCTGTGTCTGATCCACTCAGACCAGCGCAACACACACTAACACACCACCACCACATCAGTGTCACTGCAGTGCTGAGAATGACCCACCACCCAAATAGTACCTGCTCTGTGAGGGTCCATGGGGGTCCTGACCACTGAAGAACAGGGTAAAAGCGGGCTAACAAAGTATGCAGAGAAACAGATGGACTACAGTCTGTAACTGTAGAACTACAAAGTGCTCCTATATAGTAAGTGGAGCTGATAAGATGGACAGATCAGTCAGATACAAGGTAGGTGCCCATCAGATCTTTCATACTTTGGTATTTATTACTTATTACAGTACATAACCAGGTATTTGTTGTGTAGTAATATAGGTTACTGGTTAAAATGGAGGGGGGGGGAGTCTACATTTAAGATGCATGTCATCTGAGAAAGTCTGCTGCAGGCTTTACACCACTGAAAGTAGCAGTGCGGGGGGTAACTGAAATCACTCTAACGTACCACCATGGTGTTTAATCTTTAATCCCTTTATTACCCTCTGTCTGCAGCTGCTCCAGGCAGGAAGTGAGATGTCCGCTCCGTGGCAGCAGCCTCTTGCTCCTTTCTCCACTGAAGTCCACATCGACTCCAGCTCGCGGAGGAGGAAGGCCCGGTTAAGCTCACAGAACTGGATGAAGCAGGAAGACGACGCCGAGGTCATCCAGTGGCAGACCATGACCTCGGGCGTGGGCAGTGACTCGGAGCAGGACAACACACCGAGCAGCGCCGTCTCCAGTAAGGGCTTCATACTGCATCACTGATTTTTTTCTGCTGAGCGAGCAGTTGTGTGCACTGCCATTCAGAAGTTTGGAAAGGGCCTGTCACAGTCATGAGGTTTGAGCTGATGATTAATTGGCATTTATACATTGGCCCATTTAGTTTGGCGAATGGTACTGAGTTCATTTCTGGCTGATTCCAGGTTGTTTTATCTGTTCTTCTGTCACAGCTGCCGACTGAAAAGCTGCTCAGTGGTGATGACAGTTTGGGAATTTAGTGTGGTCTCATCTTCAGAGTCTGACCAAATCGGCTGTCGGTCAAATGTGATCTTAAAAGTATCCATTTTCTGTTTGTGGCAAAGTAAAAAGTAAAATCGTTCAAATGTCTTGAGCGTCTCCCACAGCTGTCAAAGTCGTTGCTTAGCAACAGCGTCTCAGCGGAGTGATAGTGTTTGTGAAAAAGCTGTGATGTTATGGCGAAATATCAGCACTGTTAGAACACTTCTCAACCAGTCAGCTTGCATGGTCGGAACTAACTGTTGTATAAATGACTATAGTCCTATGCAAATGTGATTGAATGTACATGGGGTCCTGTGGTAATTTCCTCTTTTACAGGTGATTTTATTTCTGTCTGGATCAGCAATGTCAGTGTTTTTATTCTCCCTCCTCTCCTGAGAAAATTACAGGCCAAATTACTTACTGTTTTCCACCCAACTCAGCAGACGTCAGCAGAAGTTTAGACCCGTCCGGATACAGATCTGTTTGATTTTGGGGGATTTTCCAGGCAGACGTCCCATTTATGACAAAAAAGGTTGCTGATACTCGGCGTATTTACTCTTCTAGTGCACATATCTGTATTAAACATTTTTTTTAAATTGTGAAACGGCGGCTGTTTTGGAGGGCTTTCAACCATTAGCTTCATCTGAGTGGTAGAACTTTATCATCCTGGAGAGCATTAGCTGGAGGTGAAACAAAGAAAAAAAGAAGGTCTGTCAGAGAAGTGAGATCTCGCAGGCTGATTAAAAGAATGATTATAATTGCAGCTGCATGTGTACAGCACTTCATGTTCACATACAGCTATACAGAATCATCAAAACATTACTTTATATGCTTTTTCATCAACTATTCACATGAATATGCGTGATCATATGACCACGTGTGACGCAAACATCCAGGTTGCAAAACTTACAGCCCAAAACTTACCTCCTGTAGTAATTTTATTGCCATCTGGATGTGTGTTTTATAAAAATATATTCCGATTAGAAAGTAGGTTTAAGAAATTTGTACAGCATAAAGTCATAATAAAATGATTGCCTCTTATTTCAAAAGACCTGATTAAACATTGGGGCAGAAAACTGAAAAAAAAAAAAAGATTGTAGACGTACAATTATACTACATTATCTATTATTTAAGACTGTTTTTGTTTCTATAACAGTCAAATTTTGAAATAGTGAATAAAACATAAAAAAAAAAAAACTTTGTGTTCAGTTCATAGTATGTTATATATATTCATGTACCAAAACTGCAGTGCAAAACCCAGGTGTGATCTTAGACTCTGAGCTCTGTTTTATCCACATGTAAACAGTCTCTAAAGTAGCTTTTTATCATCTAAGAAACATCGCTAAGGTTCTGTGTTTTCTGTCTCAGAGTGATGTCGAGAAACTTGTTCATGCATTTATTAGAAGCAGAGTTGATCACTGTAATGATCTTCTTACTGGACTTCCTAAGGAAGCAATACATCCTTTACAACTCATACAAAATGCAGCAGCATCCTAACAAAAACAACACAGAGAGATAAGATCAGTCCTGTTTAGAATGAGCTATACTGGCTGCCTGTATCATGCAGGATGGATTTTAAAGTTCTGCTACTAGTTTTTAAGGCTCTAAATGATCTTAAAGCATCACTTACATCACAGAGTGTCTGTTATGTTCCGGCTTGTGATCTTAGATCTGCAGATACTGATCTTCTGCAAACGCCTTCTGTAAAATACAGAAAACATGGAGAGACTCGTTCAGTAATTCTGCTTCTAATCTGCAGAACTCAGTTCACCTTTTATTAGACAGTCAAGCTCAGTGGATACTAAGAAACAAGTCTCATGGTATTCATCTTTTAAATTTGATCTGTGACACTTTCTTATGATTCTAAATTAATGCTTATAATTTCTTGTATAACTATTTTATCACCTGTGCTATATAAAAAATAAAAATAAAATGTTATTATTGCTATATAAAAATAACAAATTATTAATATCTTATTCAAAGCTTCTGAATGGCAGTGTATTTCACAATAACCTCCTGTTAGACTTGTGATGTTCATTTGCTCATCATTTACATTGTCAACTAACTGTCGTGGTCAGATATGAAGCATTGAATTGGCAAGAATCGTTTTCAGTTAAACAGTTTAAACGGTTTTGGACCAGATTATTATTTTAAATCAGTGTGATGTGATCAAATTTGATGTTCTTTGGTCACTATAATCTACACTTATACTCGTGAGATGGTCACAGCAGTTAATAATGGGTCATGAATGAGTGCAGTTCACAGTTCAGCCAGACTTTCTTGGCAAGTTGTGAGTGAAGTTCTTGAAGTTGTTAAGTGATGTTGAGCACTTTGAGTCATGCTGTGAATGACCTGCATGACGTGCCAATACCACATCCTGTGTTCCTGAAGACTGTTTGGCTGACCCACTGAACTGAGTTTGTGTGAATGCATGCAAAATGCTATGTTTACATGCACACATTCATAATAGCCTTGTGGATTATTATTATTATTATTGTTATTATTATTATTATTATTATTAAGAGCTTTGTCTTCCTAAAGGCTTGCAATCTTGATGAATGAAGGAAACAAGGTGGAGAGTTAAGAGACAGCATTTCAGAAACACACCCCTGTGCAAAAAAAAAACAGACCAAGCCCAAAAGGGCAAAAATGTAAGGTTTTAATGATCTAAACAAAAAATCATTAATAATAAGATAAAGAGAAAGTTGTTTGGTTTGAGATTTTTTTCCCCTTACATTTTTTTTTAAATGCTGAAGTCTTGTGGGTAAACCTGCAGACAGCATTTTACATAAGAGTCAATAATATTCCACACAGCTTTGATGGCTTCAAACAGTTGAAATAAATTGCCAACCTAGTTTCTGTTTGTGAGACCAGATATTTTCTAGAGCAGGGGTCTTTAATTAAAATTCAGTAAGGTCCAATTAGAGAAAATATTCTCAAGCAAAGGTCCAAACATCATAATGTCTAACTTGCATCATGATTCAGTGCCATATACTGTTTACTGAAGTAGCCTAGTTGGTATATCAACATCGTATGTAGTCAACAACTGAATATCAAATCAAATAAAGTACAATTCAGTCATATTTCAACAACATTTACTGTCAGTTTTCTCTTTTTACAGCACGCCATGTGAAATAACTTCCCTCTGACTCACTTTCTTCTCCAACTGCTGTGTCTCGCCTCGTCCCTCCCCTGTGTGTGCGTCACTCACACTGGAGTCTTAGTGCTCATCGTAATGCACAGATCTGATTGGCTGAGTAGCGGCACATGATATTTCTAATGCATGCGATTGGTCTGTGAGTCTCCCTGGCCGCTAAAGCTACCGTAAAGGCTAGAAAAGCTACGCCGATTAAAATAGGACCAGCCTGTCAAAATTAAATAGTTCTCCATAGTTTATCAGTTATAGGTCCAGGTCCACATAGGACAGCGTCTGGGTCCAGACTCAGACTGCGGTCCGCCTATTGGTGACCTCTGATCTATAGGGACCCAAAACCAAAAAAACGCAGTACAAACAATTATATCTTGGGCTTGGCCGCTTTTTATTATGCACAAGAGTGTATAATCAGAGGAGGAGGTATTCGATTTTCTAGTTATCCAGCATAGAGGGAAAATCGCTTCAGCCTGGCTGTGATATATATATATATATATATATATATATATATATATATATATATATATATATATATATATATATATATATATATATATATATATATATATATTATTTTTTTTTATTTTATTTTTTTTTACGTTAACTTTTGAAACTAAAAGTTCTGATAACAAAAATTGAACAAAGTCCAGTAGTTTCAGTTGTCACATTTTATCATCAGTTCTGTTTCTTAAAGTCAAACAGCAAAGAGTCACAGTACTTTAAAAGTAAAATAAAAATTAATATAAATAAGTCGTAAAGGACAGATTTTAACGGGTGTGGAGCTTTACAGAGCTCACAGAGGGTTTGATGCTTTCTGTTAGTTCTTATATATATTTTTTTTTTATTTTTCATTAGTTTTCTTCATACAATGCTTCTCTTTTGTGTTATCCTCATGACTCCTGATGGTTTTCTCACATCAGAGGTGTCTGTTACAATGTAAACAAGCCATTAAATTGCCAATGCTGAATATGGGGGCCTCAATACTGTCTAATTCTTAACCTCAAACTTGTGCCATACTGATGAAAAACGTAACAAAGCGAGGGCTTATACTAAGTAAAAATGGCCGAAGACTGCATCTCACTAATTTTCACACACTGCTGTCAACACATTGTAGTACTTTGCTCAGGAAAGGGAGATTAGCAATGGGCCTGTAGTTAATGAGCAAGCTAGTATCAAGGCCAGCTTTGTTTTAAAACAGGGTGATGGAGCTGCTTTTAAAATGATCTGAGGAAAGTGAAAAATTAACAATGGCAGTAATAAGCGTTCAGAGCTCTGGTGGGAAAAAAATTTGCCCAAGATAGCAAGTAGTGCTGGGCAAGCCAGGTATAACTTTTAACGTCAGTCTCGTTAACTGAGCTAAAGTTTAACGTTTGGCAACCAGAATGTCCAGCTGGAAGCTGCTTAACAGGACCAACACATGGAGACTATTATAGGTAACTGCTGTAGTCTCAACTTTTTGCAAAAACATATTCAAGTTAAAGTTTATTTATATAGCGCTTTTTACAACCAGTGTTGTCACAAAGCAGCTTTACAGAAAAATCCAGGTCTGAGCCCCCATGAGCGTCGCCAGTGGTGACAGTGGCAAGGAAGAACTCCCTAAAGAGCAAGAGGAAGAAACCTTGAGAGGAACCAAGACTCAAAAGGGGAACCCATCCTCTTCTGGTCGACACCGTAGAGCAAACAGCATTAGAATAAAATATTAAATACAAAACTGGGAAAAACAGGTGGAGCAATGGTTAATTAGATAGTTTGAGTTTATGCAGCAGCAGCATCAGGAGGGTCAGTTCATGAAGGAATCACTAAAGCGTTTGTCTGTTTAAAAGGCGAAGAAACAAAAAACACTATCAACCTTGTAAATGTACAGATAGAGACTAAAACTAGTTGTCAGTTTTAGGACTGAATTGGCTGGATGTTTTTGGTCGGTTGACTCAGTGTCGGGCTACTGCTATGCTGAGAATGGTCCACCATGCAAATTATATCTGGTCAGTGGTGGTCCCATTCCATTGATGGACACGGTAGAAAGGGACTAATAAATTGTGTGGCAACAAATGGACAACAATCATTAATTGTAAGTGTACAAAGAGCACCTTTACCTCCAGGTAAAAGTTTGGTCCCACCTGATTGTATGTTTTCATTTTGCTTTAAAATCCCATGCTCTTTCAGCAGGATGAAGCACCCTACTAGTCCACATTCAGTACCTCAGATTAGGAATGCTGATCTAGGATCTGTACCTATCAATAAGATCATCATAAATAACACATGAATCTGATCCTAAGTCAGCACTCCTACTCTAAGAAGCATTCTGAAGCTTTTTGTTAGAGATTGATTTGAGGAGCTTGATGAAGAGTTCAAGGTGTTGCCCTGGCCTGCAAATTCCACAGATCCCAATCCAGTTGAGCACCTGTGAGATGTGCTGGAACAATAGGTCTGATCCCCTTTGGCTTCACCTCCCAGCTTACAGGACTTAAAAGATCTCCTGCTAACGTCTTGGTGCCAGATACCACAGGGCACCTTCAGAGGCCTAGTAGAGTCCATACCTCAGTGGGTTGTAGCTGTTTTGGTAGCTCACAGAGGGCCAAAAGCATGTTAGCCATAATGTTTTGGCTCATTGATAATTATGAATTTGTAATTTTAAGATGTAGTTTTCATGTAGGACTGAAATCTAGAGCTGGAAAATGTAGAGTTGAATCCACAATAATAACATTATCCTCATTAGTTAAGTTAATTAGTGGAATGTTTGTCATTGTTATTGCATTCCAGCTAGCCTGTTGCATTGTGACAAGGGAGGGTGGGGTCTGATTATCCCTTTTTGGTAGATGGCCAAAATTTTGTAATGAAGTAATTGCATATGAACTGTTTATATCATCATTCAATAAACAAGCAAGCAAGCAAACTCTGTTCTCTGAGCAGGTAAGCCCAGACTTTTGTCTGGTAGTCTCTATGGTAGGTGTACATGATCAAATGTAGGTGTTCCTAATAAACTGGAAAATTGCTCTGTTTAGCTGGGGGACGATCACACATCTTTGCGTTTGTGTTGATGTTCCTTTAGCTGTGACTCCAATGGAGGGCTTGCCCCCAAGCGTGATGCTGACCATCACCAAGCTGCAGTGTCTGCTGGAGAGCAAACAGGAGAAGATCGAGTCTCTGGAGCGGCAGGTGGAAGACCTGCAGCAAGACCGCAAGTTCCTCCGACAGCAGATCGAGAACCTGACCAGCTCACGGTCCACCTCTGCTACTGAAGGTGGGTCAGATCGTTATCCTTCCATCCATCCATCCATCTTTATTTAGCATCTGGAATTAGCTTCCTCTGGAGGTGTAAATCTCTGACCTTACAGTGACTCAATTCATAACATTTCAAATTTGACTGATTCAGTACCATTTACTTATTTTAGTACATTTTGAAAATTACTTTTAAAAAAAAAAATAGACTGGATACGTAAATGTGTCTGGAAGAACCATTTACAAAGCAGTGGAAAATTAAATGAAACGCCACCTTCAGACTGATGTTTTGTTCTGTTTAATTAAATATTAATATAATGTTTAGTGCTTTTTACAAGCGTTTACAAAGCAGCTTTACAGAAATCTACGTCTAAGCTCCTGTTGAACAAGCCAAGTGCAATAGTAGCAAGGAGAACATTATCATGAAGCATCAGTGCAGTTTTTTACTTGCCTAGTACTCTACTTTGCTTGCGTCTTTATTAGTATGAAAACTGTGTTTATATTAATATATTATAAAGTACTGAAGTGCTCGGTCTTCTCTCTTGTGCTGAATGGCTGTTGTGCTTGGCTCCCAAAGCAGGCAAGTCCATCTACTCTGAGCCCAAAGCCCATAAGAGGCAGAGGACGGCGTCCTCCAGCTCCAGCCTCGGCAACGAGAGCGGATCAGACGGGTCGTTCTCTTCTGCGTCGTCAGCAGCCTCTGAGAAGAGGAGACGCCACAAAGAGAAGAAGAGAGGAAAGAAAGGCAAAGACTACGGCAGGAAGAGAGGTACAGTCTCACGCCAACAGTGGGAACAACCCTGGTATATACAGACCTCCCTGCAGAGTTTAGTTTCAACTCTATGATGGCTCTTCAGGTGTATTTGAATGATAGAGTCTAATGCGTTGCTCATGGTTTGGTGAAAAATCTAATATAGCCAATTCGCCCTTAACTCCAAATGGAGAAGCGGTGGAGAAGCGTTCTAACTGTGCTGTTATTTCACCATAACATCACAGCTTTTTCACAAACACTATCACTCCGCTGAGACTTTGACAGCTGTAGGAGACGCTCAAGCTATTTGAGAGCTTTTACTTAATTTGCCACAAACAGAAAATGGATACGTTTAAGATCACATTTGACCGACAGCCGATTTGGTCAGACTCTGAAGATGAGACTACACTAAATTCCCAAACTGTCGTCACCACTGAGCAGCTTTTCAGTTGGTGGCTGTGACAGAAAAGCAGCTAAACAACCTGGAATGAGGCAGAAATGAACCCAATACCATTCGCCAAACAAAATGGGCTGTAAGATGCTTTACAGACTGGCTGAAACAAAACAACATTAATATTGATCCAGCAAAAACTGTCAAAACTGAGCTAAACTTGATATTGCGGCAGTTTTATCAGTCTGCACTTCAGAAGGCGAGGCTTACAGCAGACTGTGCAGCGAGTGGGCGGAGCTCGTTACTCTGACGTAGCAACAAGCTGCTTGTTAAGGAACTATAATTTGGCGGAAGGAACTGCGAACATTAAAACACATTAAATGCCAAATTCACAGCCCAGTTTATGTATTTCTTACTTTATTTATTTAACTGTTGTATAAAAGCAATAGAACATGAGAGGGAGTGTGTTATTTCGCGATAACACACTCCCTCTCGTGTTCTGTTGCTTAAGTAGATAACAAGTGATGGAAGCTTATTACTCCACCAGTTAGCATTGTGCGAACTGCATGCCTAAGGCTGCGTACAGACAACGGAGTGTCTAAACCCTGAGGAATATGCCTGTGACAAGTTTCGCAAAGCAGAAAATGAGCGGATCAGATCTTCATGTCCAGTGTTATGGGAAGAAAGTTCAACATCCTGTTATATTAAAGGATAAACTCAAACAGCTAGCACTTATTCTGCTTCTTCTTGGAGTGAGAAAGTCAAGCAGGTTTCATTAATTTCCTAATCAGAACACAAAGCCTATTAATGTTATCAGGGGCCTTAAACACCACCAGCAAGCAAAGAGGCACAGCGTTTTATTTCTGCGTTAAAGTTAATTACTCATGAACCACAATGGTGAGGGTGGATTATTGTCATATTTATTTAGCTAATCTCAGTGATGATAATGCTCCGGATTGGAAAATATGCCAGTGTATTAATATTTATCTTCTAGCTGAGCATTTTTTAATTCACAAATGTGAGCAAAACTGTCCTACTGCAGAGCTTGACGTTCACGCTTTGTTTCAGTTTTACCCTCCCTCTTTTTTGATTGGTTACCTTGTGAAAATTTTTAACTCAATCTGTGTGGATCTAAGGTGGGGAAAAAAATGCTGTCTGATTGCAGCATAAATCTACTTCTACCATATTGCATCTGGTGCTTAAGGCATCTTAAAAAGGCACCACGCACACCTGGTATTAATATGTGCCTTGAGTGATCTTATCTTAAGTCAGACATTGCTAAGTACTAGTGATGGGTCGATCCACCTTTTTTCAGTTTCGATCTGATTCCGATACACAACTACCAATACCGATACAGATTCCGATACAACAGCTCTTTTTTACTTTAACGTTGTTGTTGATATTGTGTAAGGTTGTATTTAAGGTGTGTAATCTTCCAGTTACTGTGAGATAGCGGTTGGTCATTGAGTATGATGAAGTTGAGCAACTTCTCTAGTCCCTTTAGCCTTTGGGTTGTGTGCTGGAAGTTTATGGGGTTTCTGGAAAGCATCAGTGAGAGTCGCTGGCTAGTGGTGTCTTCTGTCTGTTGGCTAGCATGAACTCCTGGTACTCTGTCTCGTGAAACCTCTACAGGTGCTTGATTGAGCTGGTTGTATTGTATGACGCAGCCACACTTCCCCCCTCGACGCGCTGTCTTTACACACAGTAGGGGTCTTGCTTTTTGGGGTTTCCAGATCAAAATGTCGTTTTTTTGAGATATTTTAGTCAAACCAATGGCTAATGTTATTCGCTCACTCAGTTACAGACTGACGTTGCAGCGAGTTCATGCTAAGATAAGGAATGGAAGCTGGATTGGTGATGTCTGTTGTGTTACATTACGGCGGGTTCATGGTCCAGCACAAGCTGCGGACTGGAATGTGGATTGGCCCTGTCTGATATCCGATGAGTGAAGTGACGCCAATATCGGACCTGATACCGATATAGGATCGAATCAGTCCCATCTCTACTAAGTACGGGTGTGAATGTCAGAGACAAAATCTTTGTAGTTTCTTTCTTCGTCTTCTCTCCCATTTGTTCATAACGTTGCCGAAACATTTATAATAGTCCTTATATTTACATGAACAAGGACATTTTTGTCTGGGCGGCACGGTGGCGCAGTGGGTAGCGCTGTCGCCTCACAGCAAGAAGGGCCTGGGTTTGATTCCCGGCCGGGCGACCAGGGTCATTTCTGTGTGGAGTTTGCATGTTCTCCCCGTGTCTGCGTGGGTTTCCTCCGGGTACTCCGGTTTCCTCCCACAGTCCAAAAACATGCAGTCAGGCCAATTGGACATGCTGAATTGCCCCTAGGTGTGAGTGAGTGTGTGAGTGTGTATGTCTGTCTGCCCTGCGATGGACTGGCGACCTGTCCAGGGTGTATCCTGCCTTCCGCCCAATGACAGCTGGGATAGGCTCCAGCACCCCACTGCGACCCAGAAGGATAAGCGGTTTAGATGGTGATGTATGTAGGACGTTTTTGTCTGATGACAAACGCAGTGAGAGACTGATGTAGTGAATGAGCATGACGTGCAGTCTTGAAATGACCTGCAGTCTTGAAATCTGATCGTAAGTGGCCACATTCGAGACACTTGGGGAAATGCCAGGTGTAAACAGCTGTTTGTCTCTCTGTCCACTCGTGATCAGATCACATGTTAATACGAGTTGTAACCAGAGCCATCGACTTGCTTATATGGTTACTGACACCGTATGACACACTGTTATTTCTAAACATGGACACAAGTAGGTTGAATAGTTAAATACAAGAGGACCATCCATCTTGAAGCCCGAATGTCCGTACTCAGCACCACGGTCATATTTTTTTAGTCAGATCAGGCGAACTGCTTAACTCAGACAGTAACCTGATCAGCTCAACAACCAGTTGGCACTCGGTAATGGTAATGTTACACTGCCCAAAACCCATTGCTGTAGATAAATGGATGCTAGTTAGGTTATTTTAAAATTTTAATTTAATACCTCTTTCTACTTTTCTCAGTTTAAATGCCAGATATGTATGCAATTATTATTTTTAGCCCATTCAATGAGGGCTTGCATGCGTCATCTCGTGGTTTGCAGTCAGTGAATGAATAGGAAGTGACAGGGCCCTCCTTAAACTGACTCTGGTCTGACTCTCCATCACACTGTTTGGTTTCTCTTTGTTCTGTCTTCAGAACTTGACCTGCAGCTGGTCTTTTATCGTAAATCCGACGTCCATACCAACATTGATGCTTGGACCCTGGTAACGCCATCATTCTAAAAGCCTTGAGAATATTTTGAGAGTATTGATTTTACACGTAAATGTACAGTGTTGATGAAGAGTCATAGAAATTTCTGGGAAATTGCCTTGCATGACATTAAAGCTGTAAAATATCATAAATATAAATGTGGCGAATGGATATGAGTTGAACATTCAGATGATTTGCGGCATATGGTATAGCGTTCATTTTGGTCCTACCAAGCTGTAACCTGCCAAGCAACTGTATGTTGAAAGTGAGTTTGTGAAAAACTCTTGAAGGGCTGCTTAGTTAATAACAGATTGTAGTGAAACGTTCATTAAAGAGTCGTTTATTAAAAAAGTTGATATTGCTGTAAATGTTGTTGTTGTTGTTGTTGTTGTTGTTGTTTTGCTTTTATCTAATGTTTTTTAATCTTCCAGTTTTCATATACTTACACATTTTTTGAGCCGCACTTGTACGCTTTTCTAAGTTGCCTCTCTAAAGGTTGTTTAGTAAAAAAATGTTTCTATATAGAACCATGAACACTCAAAGAACCCTTTGCATGATTAAAGGCTTTTTTGCATCATGAAAGGGTTCTTCAGATTGACGGAGAGTGTTCATGAATGTGCTTTAGATGGTTCTATATGGAACCTTTTTGAAAAGGTGTCTATATAGCACCCAAAAGGGTTCTTCTATTGTTACAAGCTTGACACCATAACAATAGAAGAACCCTTTTGGGTGCTATACAGTTTTCAAAAGGGTTCTATATAGAACCATCTACAGCACATTCTAGATCAATTCATGAGGCAAAGAACCCTTTAATCATGCACTGGGTTCTTTGAGTGTTAATGGTTCTATATAGAACCATTTTCTTTACTAAAGAAAGCCATTATTTTTAAGAAGGTAACAGGCCTAATAGTACTGCATTTCTTTCTGCTGTTTGTTTTTTTGTTTGTTTGTTTGTTTTGCTCATTCATTTATTTATGCATACCTCTTATTTTTACATGTGCGATCTTAACATAACCAGTGAAATGTAAAATTTGAATATATTCCCCCTATGAGTTACTAAATAACAGCAAGAAGTGGGTGATGTGAACAGAAAATAATGCTACTTAGCGAATTTAAAGAACTTAAAATATGGCAATACTTCAAAATTTTGTGATACACCTACAACTTCATTTTTTTAAAGTTTGCAAACAAGATAAACTGTTTAAGTAACGAGGAAAAATCAACCAACTGGTAAAGCTAAATGAATAAAGTAAAATAATGGCTTGATGGACTGAGATCAAAATCAGCTGCTTTTCAGGTGGTAACCGTAGCAGTAGTAGTTGGTCTAAATTAATCCATGTTTTTCTTTCCTGTGCAGCGACGGGAGTTCAGTACGTCATCCACCGCTACAAGCAGGTCCTCTCGGCCTTCAACAAAAAGAAGAGCATGAGTGGGGCTTTCCGTCATCACGGCATCGACCGGAACACCATCGCCAACACAGCCCCCATAGCTGAGCTCCACCTGGCCGCTAAAGAGGCCGTGCCGCTGGTGGGTCAGTTCCGTCCACGAGAGGAGACACTAGTGAACTATGCTCAGCGCTGTGCTCTGGCCATCGAGACGGACGAGGAGCTGTCCAGGAAGATCGAGCAGATGAAGGCCAATGGAGAGCTGCTGCCCATCTCAGCTAAAAGAGCCAGGGTGCATACAATGCTTGGCCAGTAGAGGGCACTGTGAGACTGTGAATCAGTATTTCTCAGCCCTGGTGCTGGTGTGCCCCCTGCTCATGCTCTTCCACATCTTTAACCAATCTGTTAATTACAGGGTTTCTGCAGGTTTAAATTTAATTGAGTGAAATTAAGACTTTAAAAAGTCTCTAATGATTGTATTTTCTCTCCAAATACCTTAGAAGGAAATTCCATCGATTTTCAGAACTTCTGCATAGTTCAGTCGCTCAATATAAGTCATTCAGAGCGGTTTGGTGTAAAATGCCCTGTTCTAGAGAAACTTATAGACTCAGAACTGTTTGCAGTGGTGGCGATAGGACCCAGACGTTCAAAGAGTTTAATGCCTTTAAAAGCTCCCTCACATGAAATGGTTATGAATACACTGCCTGATGTCTGAGACAGTGTTTCACAGTAGTTTTGTGCTAAATTTTGGCTTGAAATATTTAAAAAAAAATACACTCAAGGTTGGCGAGGTACATGTAGGGTATTAGAAGTTTTTAAAAAATTGTGTAATTTCCCTTTAACCTTTCCAACTGCTTGAGACCACCGGTGGTTCCAAAACGCACTTTGTCATATTCTTCATAACTTTCATATTTCATAAGCTACATTCAAAAGTTGGGGGTCGTATGAGAGCTGTTACTCTTCTTTCCAGTCAAATAGATGGGTGATGTAATTTTAAACCCTGATAATAAAAGAAGCTGAACTCACTATTTTTTTGTCTGCTGAAAGTCGACCCATTTTTCCACAAATCTGGGCTATAAACTATAAACAGATGGCGTCTCTTCAGTGATCTGCTCTGTAAAAATTATTTTTATAAAATAATACAAAGAGCGTCTAAGATTTTTGGCTTTCAGCAGTAAATTGTAAGCATATAGTAATGTGTATGATCATAAAACACGTTCTGTTAATTTGAGAGGTGCTTTTTCAATAAAAAAAATAAAAATTTAGTTATTTCCCGCAGTTACTGAATAATTTGCCTTACGATTTGGTCATGTAAATTCAGATGGACAAACCAAAATATACCCTGGTGAATCAGTGGTTAAATATGCAACAGTGCAATGGTACTAGATATAGTGTGAGCCGATGTGGATAAGCAATATTTTTTTCAATGTCGAAATGTGGGAACTGGGATTAGATGGCATGTAAATATAATGTAATGCATGTAAACCTCCACAAATAAATGTTACGTTTAGCATTACAGAGAAATGTAACATTTATTTGTAGAGGGTTACAAAAGCAGTACAGTGGAAAAAATGCATATTTAGATGCCAATGTTGTGTTTTTTTTTTTTTGTTTTTTTTTTGTTTAATCTGCTGATAGCGATATAATTCTGATGTTATCATGTATTCCATAGTTTGTTACACTAAAGAAAAACCACAAGATTAAGAGGTGGTTCCACATGCGAGATGGTTGCCAACGTTCCTTCTTTGCAGAGCCAGTTGCGTTCTTACAGCAAAAGCAAACTCCAACCAGTTTTGCCAGTTTTTCTTCTCAGTTTTAGTTGCTTTTTCTGCTCAAATTCAACAACAGCTTATTTGGCTGACACCAAGTTTTCTACTTGCTTTAAAATAAGTAAAATGAAGAAGAGGGAGCAGGTATGAAGCTATTGTACTGAATAATTCAGTGGTTGGGAAGGAAAGTCATTCTGAGGGGTTTAATATTTGCTCTCCAAAACCACCAGTGAACCTAAACAGGTGTCCTGAGTTTTTACATGTAATGTTGACGATGATAAAATCTTTGGGGACAATTTTACCTTACAACACACAGCATATACCTCTCCACCCTAAACAAATGTAAACAATTATGTTATTAGCTAAAATCTCCAATCTTCTGTCTCACATAAAACAAACCCTCAGACATTGTCATGCAGAGTATTTGTAACTGCTTCTTAGAGGCATTAAGCTCTTCAGATGTCTGGTTCCTATCATCACCACTGTGAACAGTTCTGACTCTGCAAGTTTCTCTAGAACAGAGTTCCCCTTAAAATACATTCCAGTTAGTATGAAAAAGGTCTTACAAAAGTGTTATTTTAATTTAGCTGTAGATTCCCGGTAACTAACAAGGCTTTCTGGAGTTGCGACTGTGCCAGAGTAAGGTAGACACTAAAACGTGCAGGACAGGGTGGGGGTTCTCCAGGTCCAGAGTTGGAAACCACCTCTGTAGATCATGAGGTGGGAAGAGTGAAATGTTTATGAAGTGTTTGAGTTCTGGATGTATTTTAATTTTGCCCCTGGTCTGCAGGTGGTCGGTACGACTGTATGTACACTATCAGCAGTTTTTTGGTCAAGTATTGCAATTAATATGTGTTATGGCAGGGCCCTTCACGCAACCGCTTCCTCCAACAATAGACAGGGCGCTGTCTGTGCTACAGACTGCTTTAGGTCACAGGTTAAACATTGTATGGTTTTGGCGTATGGAATGTGGCTGTGTTGATTGGATTTAGTCAGGGTGGTTTTATTATTCAGTATAATTTACACCTGATTCACCACTGTGTCCAGAGTATTTAGAGGCTGCACTGCTCATCTGTCTAGATTGTTTTTAAATTTCCGTTCACCTTATTTTACTGTATAATATACAGTAGCACTTCTGTTCACAATACTTCACTGTGTAGTGCACTGGTCGTGTGGCTGTATGTGGCCCTGCATTCAGACCTGGTCTGATCTTACTGCTCATTTATGTAGTGATTTACTTTACCCTGATCATGTCTGTCCTGACTGTTATGTATGCTCTGAGGATTTTTCATTTTATAGGGGAATTCCACCAATTTTTCAAAATTTCTGCATAATTTTGTCATTGAGAGGTGCCAGAGTCATTCAGGGAGATCTGATGTAAAATGATTTGTTCTAGAGAAACTTACCGACTCAGATTTCTTTAGACGTTTTATTTACGATCTGAAACCACCAACCTACACATAGTTTTATATGCAATGCTGATGAAGGTAAAATAGTAGAAAATCTGAAAAATATCTCTTCTTTCGGGGCTGTTTTGCCTTTCAGTGGCATTCATGAACCTCTCTGCCACAAATGCGTCTTTAAAATGTGTTTTAAGAATGGATTTTGGTGTAAAACTGCATCAGACAGCATCTTTACCATTTCATGCAGTGACTTTGTTTGGAAGCCTTTAGAGTCATTAAACTCAGACGTCTGCTTCCCATCACCACCACTGTGAACAGTTCTGACTTGGTCAGTTTCTCAAATCAAATCACTCTGAATGACTTTATCTAACTGACAGATCTCATGTTATACCGGTCTGTTGTCAGCAGTTGACAGTGGTTGTTATATTCAGTCATTTTTATGACCAAATCTTCGTAGCCATTTTCTTTAACGTATGTTTTCCACTAGTAGACATTTTTAATCAGGTTAATTTTATGTATTACAGCAGTGATCTGTCATTGAAATCGATGTGCATACTTTTAATCTTCTTCAGATTGTGTGTCCTTTTTGTATTAAGTGTCCTGATCTGGGAAAGCTGATAGTTTTGTTGTAATTGTTTAGAATGTAGCATAAACCGCTTTGTTGGTCTGGTTATTAAGATCAGCTGGCATTCTGACCACATGCTTCCAAATGAAACACAAGACGTTTTAGTGCATTTGGAAAGAAGGCAATAGCTTTTATCATGTGTACCTTCACAAATTTTGTATGAAATGGTGCTTTATCTCGATGACTACTCCTGTTACTGTATGAATGCTCCGTCCACCAGTTATGGATCCTCTTTCTGTGAATGTTTCCTCGTGTGCCACATCAGATGTTCTGTTGTATAAGAATCTAAAGGGTTGGAGCTGATTTTAAACCGAATAGAATGAATCATCATCGACTCCTTGGTTATGTATATTGTATTTGGATTTTTTTATTTTCTGTTAGTTGTTCTTTGTCTTATGTCGGCATTATTACTGTAGTAACCTCAAATCCCTATATAGCATTACATAGAGAACTTAATAAAGTAGCTTGAGGAGTTTTACATCGTTGAATGTACTCTTATTGAAGGTTGTTCATGGGAGAGTTAGTTAATGTGTAATAATCTTCACCTCCCTAGTTTGCTGCTCTTTGCATGTGTGATCATTTGAATGAATGCATGATGAGTTGTCTTAAAGTGAATTTCCACCCAGTGGCTGAATTAAGTGCCATGACTTGTGTGACTCCTGGCTGCACTGCGGAGGTGAGTGAATGGTCCAGTTGTTCTATAGATAGTGCAGTTCCTATTTTGTAATAATTGGAAATGTGAATTTGACGGTCTTGTTTGTCTTGCGCTTAAATTACAGACTTTGTTGATTTATACATACATACATACATACATACATACATCATCTAAACTGCTTATCCTTCTGGGTCGCAGTGGGGTGCTGGAGCCTATCCCAGCTGTCATTGGGCGGAAGGCAGGATACACCCTGGACAGGTCGCCAGTCCATCACAGGGCTTGTTGATTTATTAATCTTAAAATTTTAGCAACTATTATAAAACTACTGGGAAGCTGTAAGAGTAAGCAATTGACGTGTGGATTGTTGTACTGCTGGTTTGAACCATGTGTACTGATATAGAAATAAGATCCTGGTTTTGTTTAAATCGAGGGGCTTGTTTTCTTAAAGGGAAATTCCACTGGATTTTTCAGAATTTCTGCAGAAGTCAGTCACTGAGATGTAAACAAAGTCATCCAGAGTGGTTTGATGTGAAATGCTTCACTGTAGAGAAACTTACCAACTCGAATTCTCTTTTCAGTGGTGGTGATAGGAGCCAGAAGCGCAATGTCTACAACATATATATATATATTTCTTATTTACTATTCAGAACCACCAGTGAACCTACACATGTCTTCGAGTTCCTGTATGTAATGTTGGTGATGGTAAAATAGTGATAAATCTGAGAACATAAGTTTCTTTGGAGACTATTTTGCCTTACAATGCCCTGTGTGTACCCCTCTATCATGAATTAGTTTAAAAAACAAAAAAAAAAAAATGCTTAAAGTCTTATGGCCAAAACCTTATCACAAAACTATCATAAAACAGTGTCTCAGACATTAGGCAGTGTATTAATAGCCATTTCATGTAATATCTTTATGTGAGGGAGCTTTTAGAGGTGGATATCTGGTTCCAGTCACCACCACTGTGAACAATTCTGACTTGGTAAGTTCCTCTACAACAGAGAATTTCACACCAAACCACTCTGAATGACTTTGTTTACATCTTAGCCATTTAATTATCCAGAAATTTGGAAAAATTGGTGGAGTTCCCCTTTAAAATCTGTGCTGAAATAAAACAGGTTAGCAGGCTCAAAACAGGCCTTTCAACATTTAGGCTTTGAATTAAAGTATAAACAGAATAATTGTGAAACTACAATATTAAAAAGTAAAGAATATGTAAAAGATGAATGTGTTAAAAATAATGTCTTATTAAGTAGTAATAACCCAGCGTGAGAAAACAGATGTGTGACGCCGTTAGCTTAATGCTAACACAACACGGCTGAGCTAGCAGAAATGAGCTTTGCAGTAGTAATTTGGTCAGGTTGCGCTACTTAAAAGGGTGAATGTTTCTGCATTTAACACTGCTATATTATGATATTTCCATTGTTATATGACAAAATTAAAACATTTATGAAATGACTGCAATATACAGTGATGGGAGACTAAAGTTCTTGTCTTCCCGTTGCTTGGCAACAATAGCGTACTCGAAATTAACTACATTTCTAGTGGGAGAATGGTTTATTGCAGTTGATATTAATAATAAATGATCATATTTTATGTTGTCACTGTTTTATAAAAGTAGTCAGCCACTTGAGGCTGAGCCTTTTACAACAGGTAAAAGTAGGAAGGTTTTAGTGATAAATCACACCAACTTCCTCGTTTCTACGCTCATTGTCCATTTTATCAGCTCCACTTACTATATAGGTGCACTTTGTATTTCTACAGTTACAGACTGTAGTCCATCTGTTTCTCTGATACTTTGTTAGCCCCCTTTTACCCTGTTCTTCAGTGGTCAGGACCCCCATGGACCCTCACAGAGCAGGTGTTATTTGGGTGGTGGATCATTCTCAGCACTGCAGTAACACTGATGTGGTGGTGGTGTGTTAGTGTGTGTTGCGCTGGTATGAGTGGATCAGACACAGCAGTGCTGCTGGAGTTTTTAAACACTGTCCACTCACTGTCCACTCTATTAGACACTCCTACCTTGTTGGTCCACCTTGTAGATGTAAAGTCAGAGACAATAGCTCATCTGCTGCTGCACAGTTTGTGTTGGTCATCCTCTAGTCCTTCATCAGTGGTCACAGGACGCTGCCCACAGGACGCTGTTGGCTGGATATTTTTGGTTGGTGGACTATTCTCAGTCCAGCAGTGACACTGAGGTGTTTAAAAACTCCAGCAGCACTGCTGTGTCTGATCCACTCACACCAGCACAACACACACTAACACACCACCACCACGTCAGTGTTACTGCAGTGCTGAGAATGATCCACCACCCAAATAGTACCTGCTCTGTGAGGGTCCATGGGGGTCCTGAGCACTGAAGAACAGGGTAAAAGGGGGCTAACAAGGTATGCAGAGAAACAGATAGTAGTAGTAGTAGTAGTAGTAGTAGTAGTAGTAGTAGTAGTAGTAGTAGTAGTAGTGGTAGTAGTAGTAGTGTTGCATGAAGTCTTCTCTCTGATTTACCTTCATTTTCTGCCCTTTATAGTTGGTGTTGTGAGCTGCTGTTCCTGCTTGTTTCTGGACAGATGGAAGGTCACCCTTGGCTGATGGTAAGTGGCAGTGCAGGACATTGCTGTTGCACATTCCCGCTGCATCAATTGGAGTGACAAATTAGCAGTGCTGAGTCATTTTGGGGTCCTTCTGTGGCCGTGTGCACTGAGAGAGGTCTATCCTTTGTCATTCAAATACTTTTTCTTTCTCCCTGCCTGTCTGATTCCCCCACCCCTTTCTCTTCCTCTCCATTTTCTCTCACTCTCTCACTCACTCTTCCTTTCTTTATTTCCTTTTCCATGGTTGTTTCTATTTTGGCTGTAAGTGACCCTCTATAATCAGTATCCGGGCGAGAAATGGACAGAAGCGGAGCATGCTCCCAATTAGTACTTGAAGTGGGCAGCTGCATGCTGGGATTACGTTAGCAGGAAGTTTGACTTCTTTTTCTCTCTTTCATTCTCTTCTCCTCCTTAAACCCTTTCTATAATATTCACGAAATGTGTTCCCTTCCAAACCATTCAAGCAATATTCACAAATAGATGGGATTACCGTCATATTTTTGTTTTTTCAGTGTTTTGCCAGCCGTGCAACTTCCGGTAATCATGTGTTAAATGAGCCAACGCGTGACGCAGCATCCACCTGCCCTCTTTTCAGAAGAAGCAGCTGTAACTCTGGCAGTGATGGCTGTGGGTAGCAAAGGCTCCAGTGAAAGATCCTAAACGGGAGCTGTGTTGGATAGGGGGCTAATAGTGCCTGACTCATCCCAGCCAATATGGCTCATGCTTGGGCTGACTGCAGCAGCTGTGCTCTTCCCATGGCTGCCTAAGAAGGGCTGATTGTGTGACAGGTGTGCTTGGGTGGCCCGGAGACTGTGGGTGCCAGCAGCGCCTCATGCTGCCATGCCTCCTCACCAAACTGCGCCTCTGCGAGTTCCAAATCGGAGGATGAATTGGGAGAGCACCTGCAGGCTTATCTGAGCAGCCCACTGCTTATTACCCCTGTGTGGCCCTTTCTACCAACTTCTAATGTGTTTGGCTTGACGAGTTTCTCGTAATTGTCTATATGGTTTATATTAGTATAGCAAAATCTGGGCTAGAAGGATTTTGGCTCTGTTTGTTTACTAGAGTTTGGATTGTAGTTCGGCTGCATGATTAATTGTATTGTTGCCATTATCACGATATGAGTGTGAAGAACATGTTCTTAAGGGCTGTGTTGAGAGAATGGGTCTGTGCAAGAGTGGCATAATTAGATGTATGGGAATGTAGCATTAGGACCGATGTCTAACATTACAGCTGTGGTGCGTTGCTGTGAGCTGGGTTCTAACCTGCTCTCCTACTAGTAGAGTGAATGACTTAACCACTCTGCTATAAAGGCAATTACAAAGCACACACACATGCACAGCTCAAAAATGAACTAGTCTGTTATAATACTTCAAACGTGAGGACTATTCCCAGAGTTGTGTAAAAAGTATTAAATATAGTTTGTGCTTCTCTTTCTAGGCTAGTATTGAAAAGCAGAATGTTTTAATTTGGTATTATAGGCCTATACAGAAATACCTGTTCAGGGAATGCTGACTGTTTTTCTATCAGTCTTAAAAAGCATGTGCTTGCAGTTGCAATGAAATAAGCTATTTGTCTTTTTTTTTCTTTGAACTTTACACAGTAGTGTTTGGTGCTTTTTGTTATTTAGCATGTTTTGCAAATTGTTTAAAGGAGAAGTCAGTTTTCTTTAAGTACACTGCAAAAAACCTGTACTTGTGCTTGATGCACACCCAGTCAGAGACACTATTTAATCATAATTTACTGTACACTCTCAGAAATAAAGGTACTAAACTGTCACTGGGGCAGTCCCCCTCTTGTCACTGGGGTGGGACCCTCAAGGGTACATCTCAGTACCTTCAGTCAGGGAACATAACTGTCCCATAATCCATTGAAATGATATGTTCTAAGCTGTACTGACTCCACACACCCCGTCTCGTCTCCAGGCTTTTATTTTATCGTTCTGTTTTAAAACATTCGGTTAGAAGGAACAAATACGAACTTTTCACCTGGAGAAACTCATTTAAGGTTCACAATCAGACCTTAAAACCACTGTTGTACCTTTGAGGGAACATTTGCACTGTCAGTCCCTTGATGAACGAAGAATGTACCTGCACAGAACCTTTATTTCTAACAGCGTATCATTTCTCATATGGTCATGGCAGTGTCCAGCAGCTTTATTGAACATCACGGTTTATGTCCATGTCATGCAGCCCAGGTTTGAATTGGATACAAATTAATGAGTGCGCTGGTTGTGCCAGCACGCCTGTGTTGTGCCATTTGCAATGTGTTACAAGGCTATGTAGGTAGGGTCCTTAGGAAGCAGGTAGTTTGATGCTAATATAGATAATTAGCTGCCATCTCTACTATTAGTTGGTCTAAAAGTGACAGTGGACAGTTTCAGATATTCTTTTGTGCTCCGTTTTACTTCTGAAAATCGCAAACTACAGGTGTAGCTCGGCAGCGTAAAGCTATGCGGTGATTCAGTAAAGACTGTCAAGTATTAATAGTATGAAGAATTGTAATTGGAAACTGGGCACTCAAACGAATGTCCTTGAATAGTTTTTAGTAGTTGATTCAAAATGTTTTTAGCACAAATTTCTTTTTACGGCTGTATAAAAACAGTGCACTAACAAAAATGAATGTTATCGGACTCTTTCTGCCACTGTCACAGCGGATAAGGGTGTTTTTTCATAGAGCACTTACAGGCTGTGAATGTTTAACCAGCCTCGTTGGAGCTATTTAAAGCCATGTCTTAGATAGTTGAGCACCTCCCAACACAGGACTTTCAGAAAAGTTTATCATTAACAAATTGGTTTCACAGCCTTAGGCACATCTGGCTTCTAAGCTGAACCAGGAAAGCAAAATCCAAGACTTACTGTCTTGTTGGATGTATATACACTATATATCTAAAACAAATTTGCATACATCAAGTGTTTCTTCTGAAATGAAGGGTATTATTAAGGAGTTTGTTCTGTAACATCCTCCACTCTTCTGGGAAGGCTTTACACTAGATGTTGGAACATTTGCTGTGAGGATTTGATTGAGCATTAGTGAGGTCAGGTCCTGATGTTGGATGGTCAGTTCTGGATCAACACAACTCATCCTAAAGGCACTGGCTGGAGCTCCATCACTCCAGAGAACACAGTTCCACTGCTTCACAGCCCAATGCTGGGGGCTTTATACTTCTTTAGCCATTACTTGGCATTGGTGACCTTAGGCTCATGTGCAGCTGCTCAGGGATGTCCCATCCTATTGGTCAGTGCTCTTCTATAGAGATTATCTAAGCCATGTGTGCACAGTTGAACACCTGTACTAGTTGGTGCACCTTAAAGTAGCTGAATTCACTAATTAAAAGGGCTCTCTGGATACTGTAGGACATACACAGTACATCTCGAAGTGAAAATGCAGTGATGCTTTTCTCTGTATTCCTGCTGTATGTTTGTGTTTTTTTGTTTAGGAAAGGCTCTGCAGGTGTGAGGCATCATACTCTTGACTGCACATATCAAAACTTTCTCTGTTACAGGAAACAGTCTTTCAAATGCAGTGTCACATTTCCTGCCCTTTGTGAAAACAATCTCATTTGTTCTTCATCTATAGTGTTTTCCATTTTGTGCATCTGTGTGCTGGGAGAGGTTGTGCGCCAGTCTGTTTTTATACGGCATGACAAGTCCGCTGACAGATCGAGTCTGACAGCTGGGGTGATTGTAGGATTGGAGAAAAATGTGATTTCATAGGAGGATGCTGCGTGTCTGTTACTGCACGACGTGACGTCCCACCCACCCGGAGCCAGCCATTTTCTCACATTGTTTTCAGCCCTCACGGTATTCGTTCAGGAACCAGTGTCCTTTTGTCTTTACTGAACCACTTCAGGGCTGTTTTGCTTGTTCCTTATTTTCTTCTTAGATGTGATTCATCTCATAGACCGGCTGGGTCTCAAATAGTCTCATTATAGTGTGCCACGTTAGTCAAGAATAATGACTTCTACACATCAAATAGTGCCTAATACGTACAATAGGGAGCCATTTAGGAAACAGTCACTGTCTTACTTACACACTCCAGAGCTTATCAGGCTAAAGATTCTCCACAAGGTACAGCTGTTGGCACATAAGCAGCTTTTGTGTGCATCATTGAGTGTGTTTACATACACTTAATAATCCGATAACTGCAGAAAAACAGGTTTTGTCAATAATAATCTAATCAACACGTTTACATGAACTTGAGTAATCAGATAATGGGGAAAACTCTGGGTTTATATGAGTCAGACAGTAATCAGATTTCTGCTTTGCAACTGGCCGATATACTTACAGAAGAAGACGTGACATAAACGTAATATAAAACTCAAACTTCATGCCGTGGCTTTTTTTTAAACATCGCGCCGCTTTACCTGAAAATATGAACATACATCATCTAGAAGATGAAAATAATTTAAATCCTTTATTTTGTGTTTGGTTTCAGCGCCACTCCAAAAGTGTTTTGCTGCGTCTCGTGGCAATGCTGCTGGTACCGCTGTCTGTTCTTGCTCATGCACAGACTGAGAAATCCAAAAGAAATCAGATTAAGAGTTTACATGCACTTAAAAAGTCTGATTACTAAGCTAAAATCCAGCTCTTTTTCTAGATCGGAGTATGGTGTTTACATGACCATTTGATAACCGCAGAAATCCAGTCGGATTATTGAGTGCATGTAAATGCACTCATTGAAAGAGAGGAAACTGGCATGAACCCACACCAGCAGGATCTCACTAATGCACACATATTTGCCATCACAGATTGTGTATATTAACAGTGTTGCTTCACATTAATGACCTTGTGTGTCATTGTTTGATAGTTTAGCCCCAGGACAATATTTTTCCAACAACTTCATCCTTGCCTAGCAATAAAAGGCATTTCATCAGTAGATTGTAGTAGTGTTTACGTTGCTTTTGCGTAGCATTATCGCCTGTTGGTTGCAGAGGAATTTTCAAATTTTCTCCACAATTAAATTGTTTGCGTGTAAACAAAGTCATTCAGCGTGGATTG